TCCCCTTCCAAAACAGCCATTTGCCACAGGTCTAGGCAACACAGAGAGAGGAAGGACAGCAAACCCTTCACTTGCAGACAAAATCACAATTCACTTGGGAAAATGGAAAACAATCCTGTTTTCATAATAAATGTCCTGGTTGATACCAAAGCCGTATCTTCTTATAGTATATCCATCAGGATCCATTGTTAATTTCTGTCCCTCAGCTATGCTAACCCAAAGGAAAGGCACGAGAATGGAGAAAGGAGAGAGGAGAAAGAGCCCTGAACCCACAATGCCCACCACAGTCATCACACCAAAGACCCCTGTCCTCCCCAATGTCAGTCTTTCCTTATACTCTCAGATCCTCCTCCTCATAGCCCTGCTGGGCCGAAATTTCCTGAATCAAGAGAAACCAAAAGCCTGACATGGGGAAACCATCGGGCCTTTTCCCTCCCCCAATTGAGCTCCCCTTTCCTCTCCCCCGCTCCAGTAGCACAACACCACAAACAATGCATAACTGTCCCTCCACTATTGTACCAACAACACCTTGTTCCTTGAGAGTGCAGAGAATGTCCCCCTGAGGCAATGTCACCCCCACCAACAGGAAACCCCAAATGGAAGAGGAGCCACCACCAGCCAGCCTTTCTGCTAGAAAGGCTTTCTAGCAGATACACGGGTGGGAGAGACAGCTACAGCCTGGGGATGCAGCCCTCTCCAGCAAGAGGAATACAAGGGCTTCATCCTCCAGCTGGGGCACCTGACTTGAGAGGTTCCTGGACATCCAGGCTCATTGGCATATGCCCCGAAGGAAGCAAATGGCCCCGGATTCATGGACAGTTCACTGATGAGACCCATCGGACCTCTGTCTTCCAGCCAATGTGCAGAGTGTGCTCAGTGGAAGAGTGCAGAAAGTGAATGTGGGAAGTTCCAACCACATTCTGACAGGCAGAGTCAGGACTCCACAGGATTCCCAATGTGCCCTCGCTTGGCACAATGGCACAGAATTCTGATATCAGGCTACAGCCAACTTCTGCCAAAGACTCAACATTTCCCATGCCCCACATGCTGCTATTGCCAACATGCGCCTTCTTTAGGACTTTAGCAAGGCACCTGAGGTGTGTGAGTGTCAAAGGAAGGAGTGTCTAGTTGGTATATCAGTAGAACACACCAGCAACAGCAGTTCACATTCATGTGCCTCTTTATGGCCACAGGTAGTCTCAACAGAAGAGTTGAGCGGTCTACTCACCCAAGTGCAGTCACCATCAGCGGGCGCCTCCCAGGAGACCCTCTCAGACTACTGCTCTAGACCACAGTATAGGAGGGGGAAAGGTCACGTTTCCTGAGCTGCTCTTCACAGCCTAAGGCAGTGCACAGACTGAAGCAGGAACACAAGAACATCCCTAACAGTGAAGTCCAAAATTCTGAGGAATGCTGTAACTTAGGGTAAAGCTTTCATCATGAAAGTCTCACCTTTGCCAGACAGGAATTCACTCTCAGGTCACACTCAGCGATGTGCATTGTTATGTTCAGTCCCCTTGCTACACTGATCCCAGGCAGTACCAGGGATTGAGAAATAGGAGACACTTTTGACCACAGAAAGTCCAATGCACCTTTCACACTGAGGGCCTATGTCCTCCTGTCCAGCTTTCCCCTTGTGCTCTCACAGCAGCTCTACAGAGGGTCAGTCTTCCCAGCCCCTTCCCCACCTCTAGGCTTTAGGCACCCAAACGAAGGTCTGTATGCAGCCAGTCATTCCATCTTTCCTGATCAGTGAACTCCTTCCCGCTTTGAGCCTCTCATCTCTACAGTACTTCTCCTGAAAAGAAGCGACAATCAAAAGTGGCCTGAGAACCACTCGTGTAACTCATTTGCTTCAAGATTCAATTGGTACAGCTCCTATGGAAAGCCGTATGAAAGCCCCTCAAAAAATGAAAAAGAGAACTGCCATCTAGTCCAGCAATCCCACCTGTGGTATGTATCCAAAGGAATACCTCACACCACGAATTTATAGAACATTAACTTTCCCATGCGTGATTAGACATTCACTGAGGTACTGTCTCATGAGCCTACGTGACATGGCTGGCCTAGGAATGAATTCCTGGGAAAGAACCAGCAAGCCAGATTCCATCTCAAATTCAGAAGACGATTACCTTCTCTTTCCACGAGAGCCCTGATTTCTGAGACTGTCACCAACTGGAGAGTCACCTTTGTGGAATCCTCAACCTTGTGACCTATTTTGAAGTGCCAATACACAGCAGATTGACCTCTTAAACCATCCATTTAGGTTTTCTTGACCCCTGCTTCAAATGAAGTCAGCCAAGGTGACTTTCATGGGCAGTGGGAACAAGTGTGTGTGGAAGGGGAAGAAGGCCTCACGGTTTTTCTTAAGTTTCACAATTGTCTTGACTAGGAAATAAGCCAGTTTTGATCATCATCATGTCACCTGGGGAAGGAACATGGGCTTAGGACAGGTTTTTCTAAGTATCTCAGGCTTCAGGTTTTCACTGTGTAGGAAGCTATCACAACTCCCATCTTTCACAGCTTTAAAGTAATTTCACCGATTACAGGGAAAAACAAAAGTCTTTAAACATGGCCTCTAAAGAATGCACACTTTAGATTCCAATCACAAAGAAATGTGGATTTTCTTTTAACCTTCGCTGAATGAAATTCAGGTTCTCTGATGCCACCTTCTGGATAAAACCCATGCAAATAAAGCAAAAGAGGAGCCCGAGGTTACTATGAAACTAGAGCTTAGAAGTGTCTTGGAATGCACCTTAGAAGAATTCATATTTCTATTTAGCGCTTTCCCCCCACCCCAACTGTGAAAACTCTTCCGGAGATGTTCAACAAATTAACTACTTCCCAGAAAAGAAGTAACGTTACACAGACAATGAAAGAGAGGAGACCTTTTCACCACTGCCAGTTAACAAGCACCCTCTTGGTGACGGAACTTGGTGCTGAGCCACATCAACTTTGGCATAAGGCGTCAGAGACGGCCACACAAGAAAGTCGTTCAGAGCAAGGCAAGGTGTGAGTTGCTGGGCTACCTCTTGGCATCATAGCAGGATTAAAGAGGCTGGTTTCCAAAGAGAAGCCCCATAATATCTTGTGAAATTTGCTGGCCCTGTGAAAGGAAACAAACATTTGGTTGAAATAGGGGCCTGGACATGTAGGGAGAGGAGCCAAATGAAGCCACAGTGTTCTGTTCCCATATTCTGGAAATGGTGTACTAATTCCTTCAGTACCTCCTGTGTGCTGAGCACTTTACAAAAACCATACAAAAGATATCCCTGAGAGCAAGGTGTAAGTCCCATTTGGCAAATGTGGAAATTGAGGTTCAAAGATGACATTAAGAGTCAGACTCAGACACTGAAATTTATTTTTAATGAAACACGATGCATTGTCTCAGCAACATCTGCAAGGCAAGAAATAAAAATATCACGCCTCCAGCCCCACTCCCCGACAAACGGCGGAAGGGTAAATTTTTAATGAAGTCTTGATCTGCATATTACTTGAATTGTTAGCCTACATCTCCAGGACCACTGCAAATTGAATGCTCACCCACTTATAGAGAGGATAGACTGGTAGACTATCATTCTCTGCCACTCACTTGGTGTACAGGCCTCCTCTCTCTCCCCTTTCCTATGTAGAGCTGGCTTGAAATTACATTGAAATCCATGTTCCCCTACCTGAAAAAAAACAGCGCTCTCACAGTCTCTGGATTCTTTCACTGGTGATGAGTGAAAGGAAGATGGTGAAAGTAAAACCCAAATTATTCAGCCATTTTCCAAATACTTTTTAACATAATCATTTTCTTTCCCCTCATCCTCCCATGTCCGCTTTCCATACCTGGTCCTTCTTCCCTCAAAGTGGCTCTGCTTCTGCAGCATCCTTTGCCTGCCTGAGATACGCTGGGCTGTGGTGCCCTCCTGTGTGATTTCAGTTTGAGCCAATCTGTGTTCATTTCAGGAATTTATCAAACATTTTGGGCCACTAGGGGCTTCCCCGATAGCTCAGTTGGTAAAGCCAATTGCAGTCCAAGAGACCTGGGTTCGATCCCTGGGTTGGGAAGATCCCCTGGAGAAGGGAAAGGCTACACACTCCAGTATTCTGGCCTAGAGAATTCCATGGACTGTATAGTTCATGGGGTCTCCAAGAGTCAGACATGACTGAGCAACTTGGACAAGATTGTACAGTTTCCCAAAGACAATGCATTGCCTGAGGCTGTCTTGTCTACTCTGTTTCTCCTAAAGCTGGGGGTGAGATTTTATCATTTATAGATTGCTTGTGCTGTTCTGCTTGCCTTAGACAAAAATTTTAATATAAAAATGAGCAAAGGAACCAGAGCCTGGGCAACTTGAGGGGCAAAGAGACAGGGGTGAGAAGGGAAAGTTAACTGGAAAAAAAAAAAAGCCTAACCCTCCTCTCCCCCACTGTTGCCACTGCCCCTGGGGTTTCCAGGACCCTTTTAGTCTGCCTTCCAGTCATCTAGTCCATGGGGCCCTCCTTCATTTTGAGGCCACTACGAATGACCAATAAACATAATATTCAGCTTCAACTGTAATCAAATATAAGCAAATTAATTAGAATAATGCTTTGCTTTTAGATTAGCAATAATAAAATTATACCTAAAAATNACTGGAGTGGGTTGCCATTCCCTTCTCCAGGGGATCTTCCCGACCCAAGGATTGAAGCTGAGTTTCTTGCCTGTCCTGCACTGGCAGACGGATTCCTAACCACTGAGCCACCTGAGAAGCCCGGCTAGGACTGACTGCAGGGCGGCCGGGATATAAGGGGAGTGATGGAGTGTCTGGTGAGCATCGGGGCCGCAGACAGATGCCCCTCCCTCCCCAGGGCGTGGGCCAGGAGCTGAGCCTGCGGACTCGCCCCTACACTGCTGCCCCCAGCCCAGGCCCCGGGCAGCTCCGCAGCTGCACTAATTTCCTGCGGGTCGCCACGGCGGCGGCTGCGAGGCACTGGAGAGGTGGCTGCGTGTGCTGGAGCAACTTTACGGTGATACCCTCGTTCCAGGGCAAAGCAGAAACCCCCGTAAGACGGTAGACCCTGAGCAGCTGTGAGGAGATACCCCACGTCCAAGGGCAAAGGAGGAGCCCCGGCAAGACGATGTCATGGCACCCCCAGTACCGGAGCTCCAAGTTCCGCCACGTCTTTGGCAAACCAGCCAGCAAGGAGAACTGCTACGACTCCGTGCCCATCACCCACAGTGTCCAAGACAATCACTTCTGCGCTGTGAACCCCCACTTCATCGCGGTCGTGACTGAGTGTACTGGCGGGGGTGCCTTCCTCGTCATCCCCTTGCACCAGACAGGAAAGTTGGACCCCCACTACCCGAAGGTCTGCGGGCACAGAGGGAATGTCTTAGATGTCAAATGGAACCCTTTCAATGATTTTGAGATCGCCTCCTGTTCTGAAGATGCCACGATTAAACTCTGGGACATCCCCAAGCAGCTGCTGACCAAGAACCTCACAGCCTTCAGGAAGGAGCTGGTGGGCCACGCCCGCAAAGTGGGCCTGGTGGAGTGGCACCCCACGGCTGCCAACATCCTCTTCAGCTCCGGCTACGACTACAAGGTGATGGTCTGGAACCTGGATTCAAAGGAGACTGTAATCATGAGCCCCGTGAAGACAATTAACTGTCACCAAGACGTGATCCTCTCCATGTCCTTCAACACCAACGGCAGCCTGCTGGCCACCGCCTGTAAAGACCGCAAGATTCGGGTTCTAGACCCCCGAGCAGGGACTGTCCTCCAGGAAGCCAACTATAAAGGGCACCGGGCCAGCAAAGTGCTATTTCTGGGGAACTTGAAGAAGCTGCTGTCCACAGGCACATCCCGATGGAACAACCGGCAGATGGCCCTTTGGGACCAGGATGACCTGTCTGTGCCTGTCACAGAGGTGGACCTCGATGGCTCCTCCGGTGTGCTGTTTCCCTTCTACGACGCGGACACCAGCATGCTCTACGTGGTGGGGAAGGGGGACAGGAACATCCACTACTATGAGATCAGTGCCAACAAACCTCACTTGAACTACCTGATGGAATACCACTCCTATAATCCACAGAAGGGGATCGGAGTTATGCCAAAGAGAGGTCTCGACGTGTCCTCCTGTGAGATCTTCCGTTTCTACAAGTTGATCACAACCAAAAGCCTCATCGAGCCCGTATCCATGATTGTACCCCGACGGTCAGAATCCTACCAAGAGGACATCTACCCGCCCACGGCCAGTGCCCAGCCCTCTCTGACAGCCCAGGAGTGGCTCAGTGGGATGAATAAAGAGCCCGTCCTGATGTCCCTCAGGCCTGGGGCCGAGCCGCTGAGCCCGCAGCCTCTGCCCTCAGAGAGAACCCTGTCCGTGCCCACGGCCCCCACCTCGCCTCATCTCCTCAACCAGACGGGAAGGCTGCTTGCAGAGGATGGCCGGGGGCCCTTCTCCCTGCCAGAGGAGAAGGCGCCAAGGTGGGCGGCAGAACACAGGCTGGAGGAGAAGAAAACCTGGCTCACGGACGGCTTTGACATCTTCGAGTGCCCCCCACCGAAGACAGAGAACGAGCTGCTGCAGATGTTCTATCGGCAACAAGACGAGATCCGAAGGCTCCGGGAGCTGGTGACCCAGCGCGAGGTCCAGGCCAAACAGTTGGAACTGGAGATCAGAAACTTGCGTATGAGCTCACCAAGGCTCTGAGCAGAGTCCTCTGCCCTCCTCGCCCTCAGGGACACCAGTCGGCTCCATGCGGAGGTCCAGAACCAAACCACAGGTCCTCCGGGAACAGCTACTGTTTCTATATTTTTTACCAGAAATGAAACTCTTGGTCGCTGAAAGATTCCAGTGGGACCTGCTGCCGATTTTCCAATTGCCTTCTTAAAACAATGGTGTCTGAACTGACTTTTTACATGATACCTTGCCTTCAGTTGACTTGCTTTGAAGGGTCCATGATAACTTCTCAAGGGGAAAACAGTACTGTAGAAAGTTAGAGCTGGAAGGACCTAGGAGGTGAAGCTGCCTCTGGTTTTCAAGCTGTGGTTCATAGCAAGGCAGGGTGGAGAAGGGGAAGCCAGGAGGGCTGTTTTGTTTTGTAATATTGGCTTCTATGGAATACATAATTCTCCTACTAAAAATTAGAAGTTTGCGAAGAAGCGGCATGGTCCAGCTTCTTTATTTCATAGATGGGGAAACTGAGGCCCAGAGACAAGCAAGTAATCAAGGCCCCCAGAGAGTACGTGGCTGGGCTGGGCTGAGCTCCTGGTCTCCTGGGTCTGTCTGCTGTTTGTGAGGCAGCACGTGTGCGGCTNCCTGATGCTGGGAAAAATTGAAGGTGGGAGGAGAAGGGGATGACAGAGGATGAGATGGTTGGATGGCATCACCAACTTGATGGACATGAGTTTGAGGAAGCTCCAGGACTTGGTGATTGACAGGGAAGCCTGGCGTGCTGCAGTCCATGGGGTCGCAAAGAGTTGGACATGACTGAGCTACTGAACTGAACTGAAGGGAGACCATTATCTTTGCTCATCCTTCCTGGGACAACCTATAGGACTTATTTCTCTCAGTACCCAGTGCGGAGAAGAGCCGTGTGGCTCCTTAGCAAATGGTGGCATTTGTCTTACAGGCACTGAGTAAATAAATCCCTTTTTGATTTTGTTTCCCTTGTCGAATTGACTGCTAGGAAGCTCAGACACAAATCCCCCAGGCCCGCCTCCTCTGTGTACAGGATCGGGTAACCCACATTCATAGCTTTGCTCCTCCTACATTCCTAGTGATCTTTTTTCCTGCATTTTCCCTCTGTGCCCATTTCCTCACCATGGCTTTTTCATTTCCTTCTATCTGTGTTCTATTTCTGTAAGGCTTCTCGCATCCTTTCTGGGATCAAATGGGCATTAATTAGGCAGCCCCTGCGTTCTGTGCTGCTCCCTGTAGCTCTAGCAAATGCCATCAGGGTTTTGGGCGAAGCTCCCGAAAGGAGGGTTGAAGTGTCTGAGCTTCACAGGACGGACCTGCTGCCATGAGGCTGCTGGGCTGCCTGGTGCTGTACAAGGGGCTTGGCTCATGTGTCAGGCCCCTGATCACTGTGACCTCCTGAGGTCAGCAGTCTGATCTCGCGCCTTTGGACTGAGCACAGAGAAGAGCTTCAGGGCAGACCACCCGGCTGGGCCCGCGCCAGCCCTGTCTTGACCTCTCAGTCCGACGTGCCTTCCCCTGGGAAGTGCCTGGGAGCATGGGGTGGGCAAAGCACTGTGCCGGGCATTCCTGGGGCCACCCCAGGCCTTCCCTTGAGGAACCTGCAAATGGTAGAGGTGCCCTGACCCCAAGCTCCAATTCAGAGCAGGGAGGAGAGACAGGAGAATGAGATCTCTGCTACTCGATCTGCCTTTGGTGGAGGCCGCCTGGGAGCTGGGGGAGAGGCGAGACGAGTGCAGACTCCAGGGGCCTGGGAAGAGGCCCAAGCAGAGGGAAAGACGCGGGTGAAGGCCCAGAGGACCGAAGATGCAGGAGTAGTGCCAGGGAGACTGGTGATGTTCTTTATCTGGAAGGTGCCGTTTAGAAGATGAGCAAGAGAAAGGGAATCTTGGAATATGGGGTGGCACCCAAGCTGAGTTTGGCCTTGATCCTGTAAAGCAGCAGTGAATGGGAAGCATCGAAGGGAGCTCTGAGGTGGGGCCTGGTGGGAGGAATACAGCCAGGCTTGCCGGGCAGAGCAGTCCTCCTGGCTGCGTGGGGAGAGAAGGCGGGAGGGCCCAGTGAGTCAACAAGACCAAGAGGAAGGGGTTTGAACTGAGCATCAGCAGGGGCAAGAGGAGGCCACACGGCCCCGTCGATCTGGCCACTCATGAGCCCTGGGTCCTCTTACGGGCCATTCATGACATAGCCCTGCTTACCCCTCCAGCGTCTGTTCTCCTTCTCATCATCCAGTTTACATGGATATATGTGTGTGTGTGTGTTTATTTTTCTTTTTAGCATCTTGCTAATCTTACATTATATAGCATATATAGTTCTCCAAACATTCCATGTTGGCCTCTGTTTCAGGGCCTTTGCTCGGGCTGTTCCATCTGCCTAGGACACCTTTTTCCCAGCTTACCCTGGTCTAGCTTACATGGCCGACTCCTACTCATCCTTCAAATCACAGCTCACGTGTCACTTCCTCTGAGGGCAGCAAGTCCTCCCTGCCTGCCACGTACAAACCTCCATTATTACCTATGGTACAACTGCGTCCCAGAGGCTCAGACTCCCCTAACAGCCTCACTCATGGGACTCTTCTCTCCTGTAAGGCTGGGCTCAGGCTTGCTCTCTCCAAACCCCCAGTGTCCGGCACAGGGCCTAGTCACACTGTGATGCTCAGTACATATTGAGTGAACAAATAGAAGGCTGGATGAGTGAGGGAAGGTCAAGATGCCTGGATGATAATAGTGGTAGTAATTATTACTACTGAGCAAGGGATCTTAGTGTATCATCTCATTTAATCTCATGATGCATCTGAGACAGATACTTTCTTTATCCCCATTTTATAAATAAGCAAACCGAGACTTCAGAAATTGTTATTTGCCCACCCAGCTGGTAAGCTCAGAATTGGAATTGGAACCCCGGGCAGGCTGGCTCCAGAGGATGCAGTGTTAACCGACGTGGCTGGGCTGGGCTGGGCAGGGAGGCTGGGCTGTCTGGTGAGGTGCTGAATAAGGAAAGGGGTGGGGTGGGTTCTCTCCAGTGTCGCTGCTTTTTTGTGTTTGCACTCGAAGGAGTGAAGAGCAAACGGGTCAGTAGTACTTGTACACCATCTCACCAGGCCCTTCCAAGTAGCCGCAGTTCTAGCCTCTCCACCTGGGTACCTTTCCTAGCGCGTCGCTGTCCTCATAGAACTGACCACTGTTCTGCTCACACCCTCACCTTGGGAGGAGGTGAGACTCTGTGTGTCCTGTTCTCAGCTGGCGAACCTCACGCCTCTTCTGTCCCGTTTGTCTCTCCCAGATGTCATGGCACCCCCAGTACCGGAGCTCCAAGTTCCGCCACGTCTTTGGCAAACCAGCCAGCAAGGAGAACTGCTACGACTCCGTGCCCATCACCCACAGCGTCCAAGACAATCACTTCTGCGCTGTGAACCCCCACTTCATCGCGGTCGTGACTGAGTGTACTGGCGGGGGTGCCTTCCTCGTCATCCCCTTGCACCAGGTAAGGACGCCTGCTAGGCCCGGCCCCACACAGCTCTCTGGAGGCAGCATGGGACAGAGGGAAGGTAGAAGGAGCCTCAGTTTGGATTCCATACGTGGGTTCAAGTCCCAGCCCTGCTGTGTGACCAAGAATAAGTCATTTCACCCCTTCAGTCTTGGTGTCTTCATTGGAAAAGCATGCCTCTCCTGGGATTTCAGCTTCTTGCAGTTGTTTAGGGCTCCTATGACCAACCGTCCACCCCACTGCGAATTCATTCATTCCTGAATAACATTAAATGTATTGCCGGGCTCACGAGACATTGGGGAAGTCTCCAAAGCCAGCTCCTCTCTCCAAGAGAGAAAAGGACCTTGAGGCGAAATCCAAGGAGGAGAGGTAAGCAGCAAGTGAACAGGAAGAACAGGCTTGTCTCCTGGCGGTCGCTGACAGCAGAAGTTGGGACGTATGCAATTGCTGATATTTAACAGACTTTGATCCCCAAGATGGCAGTTTCACATAGATTAACTTAACAGCAGATCTTTTCAGGATCCTGAGTCTCTGCCTTGAGGCAGCATCTGCAAAGGGACTGGAGGGCTTGGTATTGCCTCTGGTTTGCGGCGGAAGCAGATAGAAAGTTTCTCCAGAGAAAAGTATCTCAGTGTGAACAGGACTCCCACAGATTAAGATTAGGGAAGTTCATAAACTGAGAGCTACCAAGCATGTAAGCCCCTATGAGTAAGCATCAGCTGAAAAAACAAACAACAGACTTGGAACCCTAAAGAACTTCAGAAGTTAAAACCACACATAAAACCGATTCATAGATCAGGTTTTCTGATCCCAATGCACTTGAGTTAGAAATCAATAACAAAAGAGAAATTTTAAATTCTCATTCATTTAGAAGTTTAAAAACACCTTTCTAGGGACTTCCCTGGTGGTCCATTTGTTAAGACTCCATGTTTCCACTGCAGGGGGCACAGGTTCAATCACTGGTCAGGGAACTAAGATTCCACATGCCGATCAGCCTGGCTGAAAAAAAATAATAAAAACACCTTCTAAATAACTTCTAGATCAAAGAAGAAATCAAAATGGAAATTTAAAAATACTTGGACATGAATGAAAATGAAATATATCAGTAAAATTATGGGGATGCAGGGAAGTGGTGCTTCAAGGGAAATTTGCAGCACTAATGCTTATATTTGGAGAAGGCAATGGCACCCCACTCCAGTACTGTTGCCTGGAAAATCCCATGGACGCAGGAGCCTGGTAGGCTGCGGTCCATGGGGTCTCTAAGAGTCGGACACTACTGAAGTGACTTAGCAGTAGCATCAATGCTTATATTGGGCTTCCCAGGTAAAGCCTGGGCTTTCCCAGGCAGTGGTAAAGAATCTGCCTGCCAATGCAGGAGTCGCAGGAGACGTGGATTTGATCCCTGAGTTGGGAAGTTCCCCAGGAGGAGGAAATGGCAATCCACTCCAGAATTCTTGTCTGGAGAATCCCCCGGACAGAGGAGCCTGGTGGGCTACAGTCTTTGGGGTCGCAAAGAGTCAGACACGACTACAGTAACGGAGCACGCACACACCCAGAATTCAGTACCCATTCATGAGCAAAATTAAAGTTCTTTGCACACTAGGAAAGGGGCTCTTCACTAACATAGGAAACGATTGTTTAAAGACTTAGGTATTGTCTGCTGCGCGGGGCTGCTGGGCACGGACTTTTCTCCGTTGCGGAGCTCGGGCTCCTCACTGCGGTGGCTTCTCCGGTGGCGGAGCGCGGGCTGAAGGGCGCACGGGCTCAGTGCTTGTGACGCGTGGGCTTAGTTGCCTGCGGCACGTGGGATCTTCCAGAGCAGGGGTCGAATCCGAAGCTCCTGCCTAGGCAGGTGGGTTCTTTACCACTGAGCCACAAGGGAAGCGGCGCCACAGCCTCTCCTGTCCCACCCCACCTGCCTCCTGTCTTCTCGGAAACAGAATTCTTTAAGCTTTTTGTTTTGAAAGACTCTCAACCCTACAGAAAAGTTGCAAAAAATAGTTGAATAAATGATTATCCTTCACCAAGATTCACTGGTTGTTAAGATTCTGCCAAATTTACTTTTTGTGATTTTTTTTAATATCTTCGTCTCTGTACGTGTGCGTAAACAAATTTTATTTCTGGTCAAGTGTAACCCAGGATCATGCATTATATTTAGTTGTCAGTTTACTCATTAGATTGCTTAGTTTGCTTCATTTCTCAATACTGAAATTTTAAAGCTGTAAAGCCCAGCTGTTCTGAAGGATGTTGCTAAAATTGAATTTAACCCATTGTTTTCTTGTGATTAGATTCATGTTATACGTTTTTGGCAAGAATGTTAAATAAGTGATGTTGTACCCTCAGTTCATTATGTCGTATGACACATGAGGTCAGTTTGTCCCATTTTTGGCGATATTGGTGATGTTTGATCTCTTTGTTAATATGGTACATATGAGTTAATATCACTCATGAAAAAGGAACACCCCTTTAGGGAATTCCCTGGCTGTCCAGTGGTTAGGACTCTGAGCTCTCACTACCATGGCCCAGGTTTGACCCACGGTCAGGGAACTAACACCCCCCACCCCCCGCCAAAAAAAAGAACATAAAAGGTGCTGGCCTGTGCAGTAAAACTAGAAAAATAAGTTAAAGGTATAAGGATTGAAAAGGAAGAGATAAAACCATATTATTTACTGATGTGATTGTCTACACAGAAAACCAGAAGACCACAGAATCAAATTACTAGAAAAATAATAAGTGTTCGGAAGGTGACTGGATGAAAAATCAGAATCCAAGTCAGAGTTGCATTTTTACGTAACAAGAGTGCTTACAAAAATGTAAATATTTCCAGTAGAATGAGAAGAGTAAATACCCGGGAATTAATAAGCAAAACTGAATAGGAGAAAATAACAGAGCATCATTGACAGGCTAATAATGAAGACGACCTCAGTAAGTGGAAATGTGTGCCATGTTCATGAATGGTCACTTTTCCCCCCTTCTCCAAATGTCCAGAGCATTCTCCTTTTCACTCTGTATTCCATAGCACATTGCTTCCTTAGGATACGGGCCCTGAGTGCTTTGAATCCGAGTCACTTGTGTCCTTCTGGTAGTGCTTCTTAATGTATTTGCAATGTGGGAGGACTTGGGGAGAACCAGTACTTCGCTCACCCATATATCACCCCGTGGGCACTCACAGTTGGTACTTACCAGTTTTCACTGGTTGAACAAATCTGTTCTGTTTCTATACATTTGCTTTTTAAGAATATCATACAAACGGAACCATACAGTATGTAGGCCTTCGGGTCCTCAGTCAGTGAATTCTCTGGAGATCCATCCAGGTTGTTGTATGTATCAATTGCTTATTCTTTTTTATTGCCGAGTAGTATTCTGTGGTGTGGGTGCACAGTTTGTTGAACCCTTGGCTGTTGAAGGCCGTCTGGACTGTTTCCAGTTTGGAGCTGTTAGGAATGAAACTGCTATAAACATTTGTGTACAGGATTCTGTGTGCACATAAGTAAATTCCATTTTTCTGGGATAAATGCCTAGGAGTGCAATCTAGATCATAAAGTAGTTACATGTTCCATTTTATAGGAAACTGCCAAGCTATTTTCACAAATAGTTTTATAGCATAAGTAAAGTATTACATGGAACATAACTTTTAAAAAGTCCTTTGCTGTTTATCTGAAATTCTAATTTTACCAGGCATCCTCCTTTTATTTGTTAAATCTGGCGTCTCGACTCCCAGGTGATGCCAGTGCTGCTGGTTTTCAGCAGCTAGGCTCTATTCTAGTTCTTTTTTTTTTTTTTATCGTTACAAAAAGAATTTTCAAACACAAAGGTAGGGGAAAACAATATCATGAACTCTTCACACCCAGACTCAAGAATTTTGAAGACTTTGTCATGCTTGCTTCATCCATCCCTTTTTTTTCCCTGAAATATTTTAAAGCAAAGCCCAGACTGTCATTTTACACCCAGAGTTCAGTTTGCAATTCTATAAAATAAATACTTTCTGTTACTGACAGAATGTGACATAACCACAATGCCAGGATCATAGCACTTTCCTATTATGTGAAAAAGCCCTTGATTGCCTCATAAATGCCTCTTTGCTCCTGGTTTGTTTGAGTCAGCATCAAGAAGGTCCACGTGTTGCGTTTGGTTGACATTTTCTTAAGCGACCACATCCAGCGTGACGGAGCAGGAGGCAGAGGCTGAGAGAGGAAAAGGACCCGTGCTGGTCCCGCGGTGTGGCGCTTACCTGGGCAGACAGGCCTGCAGGCCCTTTTCCATGTAGTCAGCAGGGACAGGGCTTACGCTGCACCTTTATTAGCCCATTTTATGGGAGGTGTTGCCCCATTATATGCATCAGGATGCCGAGGCTCAGGGAGCTGACTGAAGGACCCTGATCAGGAAAGGTGTGGACCCAGACCTGGGCATGGTCTTGGGGCCCCACCCTCATTCAGCGGACCTGCACTCCTGAGTTTTGGCTCTGGTTCACATCGGCTCCTTGTCAGTTACCAGGGTTTAAGTCCGATCCGGGCACAGAGAATGTCAGTAAAGGTAGAAGGAAGGGACAAGCTAGCGAATTCTTCATTTTCACGCAGGACTGGAAGATTCCTGGCTTTCCCACCGTGTGTGGGATTTATTCTCAGAAGGGCCAGGCTGGCCCATGTGGTGTCAGGTGTCCCAAAGGGAGTGACTCCACAGTCCCTTTCTCTTCCGCCCTGTGGCCCAGGGTGAACCCATTGCAGGGTGGCGCTGGCAGCCTAGGCAACCAAGGGCTGCGCTCAGGGAACAAAGGCTCAATGGGAAGGTCTGGGGACACGCCCGCCCTGAGCCTGGGGGACAGGCAGGTTGGGCTTTGGACCCTGGCACCAGGCCTCCCGCAGACCCACCTGATCAGGTGGGGGGTGGACTTTGCTGTGAGGTGTGGAGGTCAGGAGGAATGCCAGCAAGAACAGGCAGAGCCCTGGGGTCAAGCCCTGCAGCCTCGCTGGGAATAGGCCAGGCCAGAGGAGGGTATGGGCTTGAGGGCCAGAGGGACGCGTGGTGAACAGGTGCCTGGGGCAGGGGAGTGGGGCACTTCACTGCTGTGCCCTTGGAGGCCAGCCAGACCCTGCTTAAGCCTGCGTCATGCCACGTCCCTCCTGGGACCCACCTCCCTCCCATTGCCTGCACACAAAGTCCTGCCTTTCTCACCAGAACTCTCCATCCACATCCCAGCTAACGCTGTAAACCGCAGAGACCTCCACAGCACACCCCCGTCCCCTCCATACCCGGGTTCCCCTTCTAGAAATGTAGAGATGCAGGGTGTGTGCCAGACTGTTTTCCTGTTTTTCTTTGGGGGAGAAAGTCTCTTCCAGTTCTGAGGGTCTGTTCAGCCTGAAAGGGAGCTGGCCTGGGACCAGGGAGGTGGCGTGGGGTGGAGGTGCCCTTCGGGGTCCACAGGACAGAGCTGGAACCAGAAGTGGAGAGTAAGGGGAGAGGGGAGGCCCACAGGGAAGCTATACTAGGCTCCAAGTAAGAAGGGTTTGCTCACAGTTTGTAACAAGGTCTGAAAGTGAAATAAGCCACCTAGCGGGGACGCGGGCTCCCCACCTCCGGAAGTGACCAGGCAAGGTTACCAGATAGCCTCTGCTGTTCACCACTTCCAGCCCTGGGTGTGGGGTCTATAGTGGACCCTCCTCAGGCTCCTCTGTGCCTGTGAGAGGAGGGCTGATGAATGATGCGTTCCCTAAATCCTCCTGGGAACATGACTTGCATTTTATTTTATTATTTTTTTTTTTTACATGACTTGCATTTTAGCAGCACGTGTATTCGCAAGATTAGGGGACACTCCTGTCGTCTTTTCCCCTCAGCTGTTTCCTCTGGGCAGCCCTCTGGCTAAGTCTCACCGACTCTAGTTAGGACACGTCTCATCTGTCCACTTGTCCATCTCTCCATGTGCATCTCTCTCTATGCAAGGTGACCTGTCCCCTCTTGTCTGGACTTCTCTACCTTCCTACCCATCAGCCTACCTTTCCTCCTGTTTGCTTTAGGATCTCTCTACTTAAAACCTATCTGTGCATGGCCCAGCCTTTCTGACTTTCAGTGCCTCCCCTTCATCCTAGTCTGATCAAAGTCTTTCTTTAAGGCCCAACTCAAAGGCATCCTCCTCCAGGAAGCCTTCTTTGATTGATCCCCCAGGGCATTTCTTCTGCCTCTGAGCCCTGAATACACTATATCCTGCCTCCTCCACAGGTTGGCAGCTCCTTGAGGGCACAGATCATGAGTAATTCATCTTCTGCCGCCACTTGCATGGGACATAAGATCTGGCACATAGTCAGTCCTCACTGAAAGGCCTGCATGGTGCTGGTGATAACTATGGTGTGAGGATAGCAAGAGGCAGACCATGAGTGAGAGAAAGCATTCCCAGTTCTCACAGGTCTGCCGTGGTTGGAGTGGCTCTGATTATCAACCCTTCCTATCCCCAGCTTCTGCGTTCTCAATGGGGATTCTAGTACTCCTTCCTGGGGTGGCTGGAGGGAAATTAAATAATTGAGCAGAGCCCCTAGCACAGGGCCTGGCACATAAATGACGCCTGAAATTATGGTTCCTAAAGAAAAATACTTGCAAACATGTTGCTTATAGGTGTAATAGTGTGCTTGAGTGCATTCGCTGGGGACACCTTGGCCTCACTAAGTACATCCTGGCCCGTGCAGAGTACTGAGCGACAGCAAAGCTGGGTAGTTGTGATGAGCTCTGATGAACTTATATTAGTGAATATCCTGAGAGCTCACCGTGTACCAGGTGGAGTCTTTTTTTTTTTTTTTTCCATTTGGTCGTGCCACGCAGCTTGTGGGATCTTAGTTTCCTGACCAGGATATGAACCCAGGCCTTGGCCATGAAAGCTCTGAGTCCTAACCACTGGGCCACCAGGGGATCCCCGAGACAGAGTCTTAAGCACTGTGTGTGTGTGAACTCGTTTAATCCTCACCTCCACCCTGAGATTCTACTGCCCTTGCCATTTTGTAGATGAGGACGCTGACCAAGAGGCAGGTTCCCTGTGAGTCCTAAGGTCATGACAGTAGCCCCACCGCATCCCCTGTCCCACCCACCTGGCTCCTGCCTTCTGGGTCCTACAGTCCCGTCCACTCCCTCTGCCCCAGGACAGCCCCTCAGAGACTCCGGGCTGAGCAGCTCCGTGGACGAGGACAGGCGTGTTGTGTCCGACTCTTGTTCCACCCTGTGGACCACAGTCCTCCAGGCTCCTCTGTCCGTGGGACTCTCCAGGCAAGAACACTGGAGTGGGCTGCCATGCCCTCCTCCAGGGGACCTTCCTGAGGGATTGAACCCACTTCTCTTACATCTCCTGCATTGGCAGGCAGGTTCTTTGCCCCTAGCACCACCTGGGAAGCCCCCATTTAGAGCCTACACATGCGCACACACACACACACACACACACACACATCCATAAATCAGAGTCCTGTCCTTGGCCGACTGCTGGCCTAATGGGCTGAAAGACAGCAGTGGCCTCTGGATTATAAATATCCCTGTCCTGACAGGGCTTTTAGCAGCCCGGTCAATAGCCCATCAGACTGGCTAATGTCTATTAATGTGGGTCCTCCCACAGAAACCCTCTTAGGCACAGGGCCAACCAGCCTCTGGGGACCGCCTGCCATCCTCGGCTCATTAAGGAAGGGAAGCTGCGTGGGGCTGGGGCCTCTGCTCTCGGAGGGCCGGGAGGAGCGCCCGCCAGAGCCAGGCCTGGCTCTCAGGCACCTCCGAGTCCGAGGCTCACAGAGCCTCAGGCTGGAGTCTGAACGGGGCTCCTGGGCACATTGCCTCCAGTCAGCTAAGGCAGGGACAATCCGCTCTCTCGAGAAACCTTTCTCAGGGCAGAAACTGGGGCTTGGTCCTGGGCCAGAGTGCAGAGATCAAGGCCTTGAGAGCACCTGGGTACACCGCAGCCAAAGACAGTGCTGCTGACTGCTTTGGCCCTTTGGCCCAGAAAATGATCCAAGAGAAGGGAAAGCCTGTGTGCAGGAAGCGGGTCAGGACAGGACTCGGAGAGGGCGGGTGCTCCCTCTGACCACAGTGAGTATGCCACAGGCTCACCCTGGGCTGCAGCCCAGCTCTGCCCTTCGCCTTCCCCGTGACCCTGGGCCAGTTCCTCCTCCAGTCCGGGGGGCGGGGGCGGGGGTGGTCAGGGATCCATTGGCAATGCCTGCCACAGGTGCAGGCTAGTTGAGCTTTGCTGTGTTTTTTTACCATTCCTGATCGCAGAGCCCCTCAGGCTCTGCAGTTTTATCAGAAATTTTTAGCTAATCCTGCAAGGACCTGATCTTTTCAGAAAGTCTGTAGTCTTAAATACCTTTTTTTAAAAAAAAAATCATTTATTTTTAATCAAAGGATAATTGTTCTGCCGTATATCAACATGAATCAGCCACAGGGATACACGTCCACTCCCTCTCGAACCTCCCTCTTAAATACCTTTTTATTGCAAAATGTTACACAGTGTTTATAGTTTAGAAGACAAAATTTTAAGATACAGAGGATGATTTTTTAAAAAGCCACACCCATTTAGCTCACCGTATAGAGATAACCATGAGTAACATTTTGATGCATTTCCTTCCAGTCTTTTTTTCTCAACTTTAAAGTACATGTGTGGGACTTCCCCGGCCATCCAATGGTTAGGGCTCTGTGCTTCCAATGCAGGGGATGTGGGTTCCATCCCTAATCAGGGAGGAACTAAGATCCCTCATGCCAAGAGGCACAACCAAAAACTTTTATTTAAAAATATATATATATATCTATGTATATATAGACATATGTAGATGCATGTGTGTGTTGGCAGCCCACTCCAGTACTCTTGCCTGGAGAATCCCATAGACAGAGTAGCCTGGCAGGCTACAGTGCCTGGGGTCGCAAAGAATCGGACACGGCTGAAGCAACTTAGCACGCATGCATGTGCATGTACACACACATGTACGTATGATAAAAGCTCTTATTGGAGCACTTCCTGTAGCAGATCACTGTTGGACTTTTCAGCCACAGTATGTCATTTTACCCTCATCACCCTGCAAGGGAGAGATTATTCGTCATATTTTGGGACAGTGGAGAATGACCCAGTGGCTGGAGCGCTGGTCCCTGGGAGACCTGAGCTGGGCCCGTGGGTGCTGGGCCCTCACTCCAGGTGCTGCCTTGCTGCTCTAGTCCCTGCCCGGGGGCCCGTTTTCTTCATCCATGAAGAAGGCTAAACCATCTGAAAGACGTTGATCTTTTGCTCACCTCCTCACACAACACTATCAAATGACACATCCAAAGTCTTTATTTTCTCTCTCTCTCTCTCTGAATGTCTGTGTCGCTCAGTGATGTCCTCTTCTTTGCAGCCACATGGACTGCAGCATGCCAGGCTCCCCTCTCTTTTACTATCTCCCAGAGTTTGCTCAGATTAATGTCCATTGAGTTGGTGATGCTCTCCAACCATCTCATCCTCTGTCACCTTTCTCCTATTGCCTTCAATCTTTCCCAGCCTCAGGGTCTTTCCCAATGTATGTGAAAGTACTTTTTTGTTTTCTAAACCCTTTGATGGTAAGTTACCTATATCTTTGCCCTTTATCCCTAAATATTAGTATGTTTCCTAAAAATAGGAATTTTTTCTTACGTACCCACAGTACGTTGTCAAATTCACTCAGTTGAGCTTTACAATACTTTTATCTACCATTCACGTCCCAGTGTCTCAAATAATGTGCTTTATAGGGTTCCCCCTCCTGGAAGGGATCCAGTCTAGGGAGAGATGTCTAAGACCCTTTCCCAAGGAATGAGATCGGAATTGGGCAGAGGATTTCTGAAGGGGAGCCTGGGACCACGGCCTGTTCTCAGAGCTGAGATGCATGAACCAGAGGCTCAGGTGTCTGTCTCCTAGTCTGCCAGAGGTAATGGGGTGCCCTATGTCTGTAGTCACAGCAGCTGCCCTGTCTGGAGCCCTGGGCGGCAAGGCCATAGAGCATCCCTGGTCTTCATTTCCTCTCCCTTGGGCATGGTCTCAGGGCATCCCACAAGAGTGCAGGGGTCTCTGCAGAGTTGGGCAGGTGAGGGAAGAAGAGCCTGTGGGTGAGCCCTGAGTTCACTCCGTCCTTGAAACTACATTTCTAAACATCCCCGAGACTGTTAGTTCTGTGAGGTCGAGTACTGCGTCTCGCGTTCAGCCAGCACTTTGCCTCGGGCCTGTCCTCCAGGTTCCCTGTAAGGATCTGCCAGGTGGGTGGGTGTCGGCCAGTTTTCTTCTCCCCTGTCTCCTTTGCTGAGATGTAAGGTGGAGCCTTCCGGTGGGTGGGCTCTGGAACCTGAGGATGTGGGCGGTGTCTGCGTTGGCAGGCAGAGGGCCCGGTCCTGGGCCCTATACTGCCAGGGCCATGCAGCGTGATGTGTGAAATCCATGTGTGGGTCCCCGCCAGCCGCCAGCTTCTGTGCTTGACCTGGTGTCGTTTTCTTGTGACCCAGGAGTTCTCAGCTGCAGGGCCATGAACCTTGTGTGTCCTCCCAGCCCCGAGACAGGCGTTCTCAGCAGGAAAGAGGGGAAGGGAGGAGGTGCCCTTTCTTTTTTCTTTTCTTGATTGACTTTGCTGAGATGTAAGGTGGAGCCTTCCGGTGGGTGGGCTCTGGAACCTGAGGATGTGGGCGGTGTCTGCGTTGGCAGGCAGAGGGCCCGGTCCCGGGCCCTATACTGCCAGGGCCATGCAGCATGAGTGTGAAATCCGTGTGTGGGTCCCCGCCAGCCGCCAGCTTCTGTGCTTGACCTGGTGTCGTTTTCTCGTGACCCAGGAGTTCTCAGCTGCAGGGCCGTGAACCTTGTGTGTCCTCCCAGCCCCGAGACAGGCGTTCTCAGCAGGAAAGAGGGGAAGGGAGGAGGTGCCCTTTCTTTTTTCTTTTCTTGATTGCTGTGTTTTTGGCTGCGCAGGCTTCTCTCCAGGTGCGGTGAGTGGGGCTCCTCTCTCGTTGCAGCGCGCAGGCTTCTCGCGGTGCTTCCCTGCGTGTGCCGCACAGGCTCCGAGGGTGCCCGGGCTTCAGAAGCCGGAGCTCCCTGGCCTGCAGCACCAGCGCAGTAGTTGTCGGGCACGGGCTCAGTTCCATGGCGTGTGGGATCTTCCTGGATCAGGGATTGAACCTGTGTCTCCTGCATTGGCAGCTGGATTCTTAATCCACTGTGCCCCCAGGAAAAACCCACCCTTTCTTTTTAATTGAAGTATAACTCATATGCTTCCCCTGTGGCTCAGCTGGTGAAGAATCCACCTGCAATCCGGGAGACCTGGGTTTGATCCCTGGGTTGGGAAGATCCTCTGGAGAAGGGAAAGGCTACCCACTCCAGTATTCTGGCCTGGAGAATTCCACGGACTGTATAGTCCACGGGGTGGCAAAGACTCGGACATGACTGAGCGACTTTGACCTTCATAACTCACATACTGTAAAATTCACCATTTAAGTGTGTGATTCAGTGGGTTTTAGATACTCACATGTTGTGTAACCGTCAGCACTAATTTGAAAATAACTTCATCACCGCAGAAACCCCATTCCCATTAACAGCCACTCATGCCCTTCTCCCCCAGCCCTAGGCAACCACTAGTCTGCTTTCCGTCTCTATGGATTTAACTGTTTTGGATTTTTGTTGTTGTTGGCACACCTAGACGCTTCTGGGATCTTAGTTCCTCAACTTGAGACATGCCCAGGCCCCCAGCAGTGAAAGCAGAGTCCTGACCACAGCCAGGGAATTACCCCTGTCCTGGACGTCTCACATGCCTCAGTCAGGGCTCAGAGTTCCAGGTACCAGGGGGTGTGTCCCTTTGCTCAAGCAGCAGAGCCACATCGGGTGCCTCCTCTAAGTGGAATCACGCAGGATGTGGCTTTTTGTGTCTGGTGTCTGCCAGCTAGCATGATATTTTCAGTGTTCACCCACATTGCAGCCTGTGTCAGTACTTCATTCCCTTTTTTGAACATATTTCATTTCATGAATATACTGGGGCTTCCTGGGTGGCTCAGCGATAAAAGAATCTCCCTGCAATGCAGGAGACGCGGGTTCTTATCCCTGGGTCGGGAAGATCCCCTGGAGGAGGAAATGGCAACCCACTCCAGTATTCTTGCCTGGAGAATCCCATGGACAGAGGAGTAAGGTGGGCTATAGCCCACATGGTCGGAAAGAGTTGGACACGACTTCATTCCCTTTTTTGAAAAATATTTCATTGTATGACTATACTATGGTTTTATAAACTATCTATCCATTTATGGACATTTGGGTTGTCCCCACCTTTTGGCTATTTTGAATAATGCTGCTGTGAGCACTGGTGTACAGTTTTTTTGTAGACCAATGTTTTTATTTCTCCCGGGGCTGTACCTAGGAGTAGCATTATGGGGTTAACTCTGTTTAACCTTTTGAGGAGCTGCCAGACTATGTTTCTCAGTGGCTGCACCATTTTTGCATTCCTGCCAGCAGTATTTGAAAGAAATGTCCTTTTATTAAACACCTACCATGTGCTAGACACTTGCGCTAGACCCTTCCCATACCTCACCTCCTGCGAACCTCACTTGAACTCTGAAATATCTATTACTGGCTCCATTTTCCTGAGGCTCAAAGAGGTGTCGTGACTCCCCCAGGGTCACACAGTAGGATTAGTGGAAAGTCCTGGATTCACTACTAGCTCTGCCCTCTATGTCTTACTGTCCACGCAGTGACTGCTGGCTGCCCTAGTGACCCTCCTCCAGCTGCTAAAGTGGAATTAGCCGCATCCTCTCCTCAACCTCCCTGGGTACTGTTTTACAGACAGGAAAGTTGGACCCCCACTACCCGAAGGTCTGCGGGCACAGAGGGAATGTCTTAGATGTCAAATGGAACCCTTTCAATGATTTTGAGATCGCCTCCTGTTCTGAAGATGCCACGGTGAGCGCCCCTTTCCCNACCCGAAGGTCTGCGGGCACAGAGGGAATGTCTTAGATGTCAAATGGAACCCTTTCAATGATTTTGAGATCGCCTCCTGTTCTGAAGATGCCACGGTGAGCGCCCCTTTCCCGAGAGGAGTGGGGTGGGGTGGAGGGAGACAGAATGACATCTGGACGCAGCTCTGACGCTCCTGACTCCTCCATCCTTGACAAGGTGAGGTCACTGTGTGAGGAGGGCATGAGTTAGAGAGAGGAGAAGTTCTGGGCTCCATGGGACTTGGGGTGCCGCCCCTCCTCTCTATGGGCCTCGGTCCCCCCATTTTTAAGATGGGCCTAAGAGCTCCCAACCCTCCAATGCAGATCAGTGTCATTTCCTGATGGGAATGCACATCTTCTGGGAAAACTATAAAATGCTTTGAAGGGGGAAAAATGCTGTGAAGGGCATTTTTACTGTGGCTTGAAAATATTATGCCATATAATCTCATAGAGAGTGGGGAGGGAAGAGCTCACTTGGAGGGAAGATTTAAAAGGATAAGACTGGTAGCATTAAGTGCCTACTTCTCGCCTTTAGTCTTCCTCTTCTGGGCCATCCAAGGGGGCCCCTCTCACAGAAGGGGTTGGGGGTTGTCCCTGCCCTGTCCTGCTCCAGAGACTGCGCTGGCTCCCCAGTACCCTGAGGATACAGCACAAAGGCTTCCTCTTGGCATTCGGAGCTCTCCCCTGAGCCTTTGGGACACTGTACTCTGGGGTATTCCAGGCTGAGAGGTGGACTTGCTGTAATCTCCAGCCTGGGAATCAGGCCTATGGCCCATCCACTCACCTACTGGTTAGGATGGCACAGATTCCCGGAAGCCTGGGCTCATCGCCAGCCCCTGCTTGGGCTGGAGGACCTTGGGAAAGCCCCTGTCCCTCTGAGGAGCCCCAGCTGCCTCTCCACTGAGTGACAGGTAGATGCAGACAGGCTTGCCCTGGCCCTTCTGCGGCGCACTGCCGGTTTTGCTGCTCAGGGTTGTCGGGGTGCCAGGGGACCCCAGCTAACACTCCCCATGGGCCTTGCCTCTCCTGACAGATTAAACTCTGGGACATCCCCAAGCAGCTGCTGACCAAGAACCTCACAGCCTTCAGGAAGGAGCTGGTGGGCCACGCCCGCAAAGTGGGCCTGGTGGAGTGGCACCCCACGGCTGCCAACATCCTCTTCAGCTCTGGCTACGACTACAAGGTGGGTCTGTGTATTAGTCTCCTGGGGCTCCCCTGACACAGAACCACACTGGGGGGGTTAAGACAACAGAAATGTATTCCCACGGTTCCGAAGGCCAGAAATCCAAAGTCAAGATGCTAGGAGGGCCGTGCTTTCTCCAAGGCTGTAGGGAGAGTCCTTCTGGCTGCTTCTAGCTTCTAGGGGCCCCAGGCTTTCCTTGGTGTGTAGCTGCCTCGCTGCATTCTGCCTCCATCTCTGTCTTCTCTGTGTATCCACGTGTCTTCTCTTCTCATAAGGACATCGGTCATAGCAGGGCCCACCCAAATCCAGCATAGCCTCATTGTATTGATACCTCATTACATCTGTCAAAACCCTATTTCCAAATAAGGTCATATTCTGAGGTTTCGGGTAGACATACGTTTTGGTGTGGGACACTATTCCATCCATTAGTCTTCCTGGAGGGGGCGAGCTGGACCCAGCTCAGAGATGCCTCACCCTCCTTCACTGACTGTCAAGTTAGCAAGCCGTGGGCCTGTGGGATGAGGACGTTCACAGCACAGGAGATCTGATTCTGCTCCCACTGTCCCAGTCTGACTTACAGTGACCCGGGAAAGTCCCCATTCTTCTCTGGGCCTCAGTCTGTACACAAATGGGGTTGATGCCATCCTGAACTCTTCCTTTTACGACTCGATAAGGCTTGACAGAGGCACCTCAGAAGCCTCTGTGATGGATAAGAGGGTGGGATGGGGGTGGTTGAAAGGTCCTCTGCCCCATTCTGATCAAAAGGGCTCTGTTGTCTGTTTAGATAGGGTGTGCGGCTGCTCATGGGCCTCCCGTGTGGCTCAGCTGGTAAAGAATCTGCCTGCGATGCGAGAGACCTGGGTCGGGAAGATCCCCTGGAGAAGGGAAAGGCTACCCACTCCAGTATTCTGGCCTGGAGAATCCCATGGACTTAGAGTCCACGGGGTGCAAAGAGTCAGACACAACTGAGCGACTTTGACTTCACTGCTAACGGTTATGCAGTTCTATCTGCACACAACTCCAGGGGGCTCTGTTCACATCTTGGACTGTGGGAATGGGCTGCCCTGGAGCTGTGCCGTATACAGCCTCTGCAGCTAAACATAGCATCCCTTATTAACTGTGTGGTGGAAACTGTTGCTAATGACTGTTTGAAACCCCCTGGATTAGCCAGTTCCCTGGGGTCCTCCCAGCATGGATGTTGCGTTGCTCCAAGCAGATGGTGTTTTCTTTTCACCGCTGGACAGCCTGACTGCTGACTTCCCCCTCCTGCTACGTGGCCACGTCAGCGGGCAGATCCATCCTCTCACCCGAGGCCTTTTGGCCAGACTGCCATCTGTGGCTTCCCTCCCGGGGATACTGTGTTTCACTGCAGCCTGGCTGGCGTGTGAATGTGGGGGCTGGGGCGGGGCTGGGGGCGAGGCTGGGTTCAGAGCCGGCTCTCTGCTGTGCAGGTGATGGTCTGGAACCTGGATTCAAAGGAGACTGTAATCATGAGCCCCGTGAAGACAATTAACTGTCACCAAGACGTGATCCTCTCCATGTCCTTCAACACCAACGGCAGCCTGCTGGCCACCGCCTGTAAAGACCGCAAGATTCGGGTTCTAGACCCCCGAGCAGGGACTGTCCTCCAGGTTGGTGCCAGGCTGGGGTCTAGCTTGGGGTCGGAGGAGCCAGGGGTGGAGTGTGCACGGGGGAGGCATGGGGCTCCGGAGAGCAGAGCAGTAATGCTGTCAGTGTTCTAGCCAAGGTCTTTATGCATGGTGTCCCCACCTATTGGGAGGTGTTGAATATATCATACCCATTTTCAGATGAGAAAAGTGAGACTTAAGAAAGGCTCAGGGACCTGCCCACACTGAAAGCTGAGACTTGAACCGGGTCTAACTCCAAAGCTGTCAATATGCCTCGGCTCTGTCAAGAGGCATGACGTGGAGTCAGGAGACCGTAAGGTACCACGGTTATCCACTGTGTGACCTTAGACAAGCGCTTTCTGCTCTCTGAGGTTTTATTTTCTCATCTGCAATAAGAGGACATGAGTCCTCCCTCTGGGAAGTCTAAATGAAATAACCCAGGTGACGGTGCCCACTTGCATGTAGTGGCTGCTCAGTAATAATCTTAGCAAAAACGTGGAGCTGGGCTGAAGTCTGCCTCTGTCTTATTTTAAAAAAGAACCCGCAACAAAAATAGTGGGAGAGACTTTATGTGGTTGGGGAAGATCCAGGAAGGCTTCCTGGAGGTGGTGCCTCTGGAAGGATTCCCCAGGCAGAACTGGGATGAGAAAAGAAGGCATTTTGGGTGGAAGACAAGGAGTCCCTGACCACACATGTCACTCCAGGAAGCCAACTATAAAGGGCACCGGGCCAGCAAAGTGCTATTTCTGGGGAACTTGAAGAAGCTGCTGTCCACAGGCACATCCCGATGGAACAACCGGCAGATGGCCCTTTGGGACCAGGTGAGTCACCACACCACCCCCCAGCACCTCTTCGCTGAGTGCTGGCTTCACCTGTTCACTCACACATTCACTCACTGACCAAACTGATTGATGAAAACCAGGGAGGTGCCAACAGCCTGATGGCAATCACCCAGATCTTGTGCATCTTGTCATTCAAGGAGGGGAGGGGTCAGGACTTAGGAGAAGCCTCGGTGTCAGGGAGGGGAGGTGGCTGAGCCCGGGACCAGGACTTGGGGTCGGGTGGGAGAAGGAAAGGGCCTTCTGGATGTGGGGAACAGCTGGAGCAAGGACTTAGGATGAAATAGGGAGGCGTGTGAGCAAGAAGAGCTGTCTGTTCAGTGTGGGTGGGGGTGGGGAAGGGGGTGAGGACCAGGCCAAGTAGTACTGATTTCAAGGAGCTCTTGGCCAGAGTTGAACAGACTGCTTCCTCTCTATCTCTGAACCTCCTTGCCTCATAGTAGATATAATCCAGGAGGAGGAAGGCTGGAGTGACGTCATGCGTATGAGAAGTGATTTGTTAAAGGCAAAATGCCAGCAAGGCAAAAGGAGGTGGTCTGCTTCTCACACACGCAGAGCCCCGGGGCAGGAATTCCTATCTTAGCACCGCTGAGGTCCTCCGTGAGTGACCCACAGGCCTTCCCGGACCTCCTTCCTTTGCAGGATGACCTGTCTGTGCCTGTCACAGAGGTGGACCTCGACGGCTCCTCCGGTGTGCTGTTTCCCTTCTACGACGCGGACACCAGCATGCTCTACGTGGTGGGGAAGGTCAGTCTGGCACGGGAGGGAGCCGCTGCCTGGGGCCCCTGGAGTGCAGGGCAGGGGCAGGGCCAGGCGGGAGTGGCTGGATCCTCTCCCCCCGTGGTGAGCCCCCAGCCCTGTCCCACCTTCCGGGCTCCACAGGAGCACCTGGGGCCAGGGCTTTGGCCGGACACCCTGAGCTAGTCACCCCCCCAATTCTGGGTCCAGATGAGGAGGGGCCAGTTGGTGTTTCTTGGCAGGGGCAGCTTCGAATTTGGGGCAGAGGGGGGTCTTCACCGGGGGTCAGCATCCCTGGCTCCTCACCCCAGGGTCAGGCACAGTAGCCACCTGCCCACCCAGTCATTATGACAGTGATGACCTGAATGAAGTGCCCCAGGGGTGAGACCCGCACTCTTGACCTTCGTGTGTAGCTCTTGGATGGAGTGGGGCTCAGGTCTGTGCTCCCCAAGCTCTGCCTTGGAGGCACACGGGGGGCTCTGGGTCGTGGTTGGGGGGACTGAGTGTTATAGTGAGGACCCCTGCTGCCATGGAGACCGTTCCCTGCTATGCCCTGTGTGAGGTGGCTCTGCCACACACTCATAGTGAGCATCAGGGTTCTGACGTGTGGCCGTGGGGCCAGGAGGGGGGTTCGTGGGACCCAGCTCTGAACGGTGCCGTCTCTCCCACAGGGGGACAGGAACATCCACTACTATGAGATCAGTGCCAACAAACCTCACTTGAACTACCTGACGGAATACCACTCCTATAATCCACAGAAGGGGATTGGTGAGTGTGGACGCGGAGGCCACGTGGGGCCTGGGGAGACCGGCATGAGGCAGCTGCAGGCCCTGCCCTGAAAGACTCCCCATGTGGAAAGTCAAGACTTTGAGTTGATGGGAGCTTTAAGTATGTTTAGGGGTAAAAACAAAACAAGGCAGGATACAACTCTGCGCCCTCGACAGGAAACCCACTTATTCATAAAGACACAGCTCGGTTGAAAGTAAAGGTGGAGAAAGATAGCGTGCTGACATTAATCAAAGAGGAGCTGGAGTCTCTGTATTAAGGGCATCTGGGGGAATTCCCTGGCGGTCCAGCGGGCCACGCTCCGCACTCCCGATGCAGGGGGCCTGGGTTCAACCCCTGGTCGGGGAACTAGATCCCCGCATGCCGCAACTAAGTGTCCACATGCTGCGACCGAGACTCGGTGCAACCTAAATTTTTTTTTTTTTAAAGGGGCACAACCTAAATAAGTAAATTTTAAAAAAAGAAAGACCATCTGGGCCGGGAGCTGTGGGGACAGTGATGAGCAGAGCACACTTCCTGTAAAAGTCTGGCTAAAATCCTTAAAGATGGCAGGCGAAGCCTGATGGTTCCAACCCCATCTCCCCAGCACAGGGCCTGAGCCAGTGCAGGACTCTGTTGAGGGAAGAACAGTGGGAGGAAGGTGGTCTCCGTTCACACCCAGGTGTGAAGCCTGGCGTTGCCGCTCGCCCTGGGGCCCTGCTGCCCCGGCCCAGCCCCTCCTACGTCATCTACCCACAGGTGTTATGCCAAAGAGAGGTCTCGACGTGTCCTCCTGTGAGATCTTCCGTTTCTACAAGTTGATCACAACCAAAAGCCTCATCGAGCCCGTATCCATGATTGTACCCCGACGGGTAAGGGCGGTGGGAGCCATCTCCGAGGGAGGGAGGAGCCCCTCCTGGAGGAGGAGGAGCCTGGGGCCTGGAGCCTGTTGCCCGTGCCCCGGGGGAGCCGCTGGAGGCTGGTGGCCCCTCCTCAGAGGGGAGGCTTTCTCGGTGTGCTCCCCCTCCCACCGCTGTTCTTGAGTTGCTCCGTGAGCTGGGGCACGGCCCTTTGCTCTGGGCCTGTTTCCTCCACTCACAGGGGTTGGGGGAGAGTCTGCACCCCAGGCTCTCTAAGAGGTCCCCCCAACCATCCCCACTCTCACTGTCCTGATTGCTCCTGCAGTCAGAATCCTACCAAGAGGACATCTACCCGCCCACGGCCAGTGCCCAGCCCTCTCTGACAGCCCAGGAGTGGCTCAGTGGGATGAATAAAGGTGAGGAAGGCAGAGAAAAGGCTCGGGTAAATGTGGGGGACACTGGAGTGTCCAGTGGCCCCAAGTGACTGAGAGGGTCTGGCTGATATTTGTATCTTCCCATAACCCATAACCCCAGAGGACTGGTGGTTGACAGCTGGTTAAGAGCAACCAGGGGCCTCTCCTGGGGGTCCAGTGGGTGAGACTCCGGCCATTAGGATGCATACACGTGGATCGAGGCAGGAAGGGGCTTGCCCAAAGTGACTCAGGAAACTGCCCCCAATTCAAGGAATTTTGCTCCATGGAAAATGTCTTTAAACCCTGGGCTGTGCAGAGTGACTGGACCGTCTCAGCTGGATCCCCTGCCCATCCGCCCACCACTTCTGCAATTACTCTTTGACCCCAGAGACCTTGTAGGCAGTGGCCCTTGCCCGGGCCCTTCTGCCTGCTCCGCCTGCCCTGACCCTCGCTCCTGGGTCTGCCAACACAAGGGCCTGCACCGTGGGAGGCCGGTGTTGGGAGAGTCCATGACCTGGTAGATGGCAGAGTGCAGCACGGGCGGGAGGAGCTCGCGGTGTTCTGGGGCAGCCCCTGCAAACCCAGGCTCGCTTCACCACATGCGTGCATTTACGCTCCGCTCTGGCCTTGGGCTTGTGCCTGTCTGCGTGGGGCCACACGTGTGGCATGTATCTCTGGGTCTGTGTGTGGCTCCGTGTGTATCAGCGCCCCTCAGGCGCGTCTGGTCAGGGGCCCTCCAACCTCTAACAGCCCTCTGCTTACCTCCCAGAGCCCGTCCTGATGTCCCTCAGGCCTGGGGCCGAGCCGCTGAGCCCGCAGCCTCTGCCCTCAGAGAGAACCCTGTCCGTGCCCACGGCCCCCACCTCGCCTCATCTCCTCAACCAGACGGGAAGGCTGCTTGCAGAGGATGGCCGGGGGCCCTTCTCCCTGCCAGAGGAGAAGGCGCCAAGGTGGGCGGCAGAACACAGGCTGGAGGAGAAGAAAACCTGGCTCACGGACGGCTTTGACATCTTCGAGTGCCCCCCACCGAAGACAGAGAACGAGGTGCGAATGCGGTGGGCGTGGGTCTACCAAGGATGCGAAGCAGCTGGGTGGGGAGGCAGAAACTGAGGGCGAGAAAAATGACCAGTGGTGTGGCCCGGCCTGGCCACTGAACCCACCTTGCTGGTTCATTTAACAAGCAGGTCATGAGCGCCATCCACATGCCAAGATGTGGTGGGTTTACTTACAGATGGTGTAAAAAGCCGAGGGTTTGACTTGGGTATTAAAGTCCCTTCCGGTTCTGACTCTCTAGGATTTTCTGTGCTCTCAGAGTCAACTTTTGTTAAGTGTCTATCCCGTGTGCCGGGTCCCAGTCAGACAGGCACTCGTATCATCTGATTGTATTTTCTCAACGGCCCAGGGAGTAGTAGCGGCTCAGAGATTCAGGGCTGGTGTCTCGTGGAGGGATTCTGAGCCTGGCTCTCCCGAGCGCTAATTCTGGGACCCAGGGGCTGACTCTCCCCCAGCGTCAGCTTCCGCAGCAGTGACGTGGGAGCACTAATGCTACTTCCCGCCCTCATGGGGTCTTGTGAGCGTTCGGTGGAATAACGAAGATCCTAGGGGAAACACCCAACATCTAGTGCCATCCTGTACACCGGCAACAGTTGTCATAATGCCGAGGCCAGTTTTCTGACCCCCAGTTTCCAGGGGAAGAAACTGAAGTTCAAGAGCTGGTAAGTAGCCTGTCCGAGGTCACATGGTCTAGTGGTGGTGAAAACCTAGTCTCCAGGACTTCAGGGCCAAGTATCCTCTCCTCCACCTGTGGGGAAGTCTAAGGAGACATGCAATATCTGAAACCTCAGTTCTTTTTTGAATTTCACTTACTGGGCGAAGAAAGCAAGGTTTTTGTAAAAGATCTACGGTTGCTGCCCCCTCCAGTCTCAGCCTTGTTAATACAGTCACCCCCTTTCTGAGTGGCAGGGGCAGTGTCAGTGCTTCCTGCTGGTGTCCTGCCCCCTCGCATCCCAGGACAGCCCTCCCGGTGACCCTCCCCTCCGCTCTTTGCTCTCCCAGCTGCTGCAGATGTTCTATCGGCAACAAGACGAGATCCGAAGGCTCCGGGAGCTGGTGACCCAGCGCGAGGTCCAGGCCAAACAGTTGGAACTGGAGATCAGAAACTTGCGTATGAGCTCACCAAGGCTCTGAGCAGAGTCCTCTGCCCTCCTCGCCCTCAGGGACACCAGTCGGCTCCATGCGGAGGTCCAGAACCAAACCACAGGTCCTCCGGGAACAGCTACTGTTTCTATATTTTTTACCAGAAATGAAACTCTTGGTCGCTGAAAGATTCCAGTGGGACCTGCTGCCGATTTTCCAATTGCCTTCTTAAAACAATGGTGTCTGAACTGACTCTTTTTACATGATACCTTGCCTTCAGTTGACTTGCTTTGAAGGGTCCATGATAACTTCTCAAGGGGAAAACAGTACTGTAGAAAGTTAGAGGTGGAAGGACCTAGGAGGTGAAGCTGCCTCTGGTTTTCAAGCTGTGGTTCATAGCAAGGCAGGGTGGAGAAGGGGAAGCCAGGAGGGCTGTTTTGTTTTGTAATATTGGCTTCTATGGAATACATAATTCTCCTACTAAAAATTAGAAGTTTGCGAAGAAGCGGCATGGTCCAGCTTCTTTATTTCATAGATGGGGAAACTGAGGCCCAGAGACAAGCAAGTAATCAAGGCCCCCAGAGAGTACGTGGCTGGGCTGGGCTGAGCTCCTGGTCTCCTGGGTCTGTCTGCTGTTTGTGAGGCAGCACGTGTGCGGCTCCCAGCCCACGGGGCAGGAACCCATCAGTTCTGGGCTCGTCTGTGCCCCTGACTTGCTCTGTGACCTCTCGGAAGTCATTCACTCTCTGGCCTCACTTTCTCCATCTGAGCAAGGAGGCCCCTGGAATGTGCTGTCCTTTAGAGGATCTGCAACCTGAAATGAAAAATCCTTGGCCTTGACCTGAGGAAAGCTACTTTGCAGGGTGATGATCTGGGTTTGCTGCAGGAACTCAGAAAGATATTCACAAAGGGGCAGAGGAAGTTTAACTTCCAGGAAATAAGTCAAAGTTCCGCCTAATTGTGGAACACAGAAACAAGGCCATCCTCTCTCCCTTCAACTGGAATCGGCCAAGTATGTGTGGACACTGTCCCTTAGGTGGGGATGCAGACAGCAGAGTGGGGCCCGTGACCACTGACTGCCACCACCAAGGCCCTGAGGTCATAGAGCCTGCCTCCTCCAGGATGATGTCGGCAGGTTTCAGCCCAAGGTTACAGGAGAGGTCCCCAGGAGGTGGGGAGCCCCAGCCCTGGAAGTGTGGCACCCACCCAGGAGGGCTTCTGGAGAGGGATGCCTGTAGTGGGCAAGGAACTGGGACCAGATGACCCTGACTTCCCTTCCAGACTGACAGTTTCCTGTGTCTCTCTATTGTGTATGCTGAGCCCTTTCTCTAAGGCGCTCTCTCCCTCAGTGGTCAGTACAGCAACCCAGCTAGAGACAGGGAATGCTGGGAGTTAAATGTGCCCCTCCTTACCAAGGCTGTGCCAGCCGTGAGACTTGCCCAAAGCACAGGGTGATCCTGGAACTAAGATGGGAACTGCAGGAGGGCCACTCGGGCCTGATGTTTCAACCCAGGCTGTACGTTCGAATTCCTTTGGGAGCCTTCAGGAACCACAGAGATATAGGCCCAACCCCAGACCACTGATGCCGAATCTCCAGAGTAGGGCCTGGTCTGGTACATGTTTTTTAAGTTCCCAGATGATTCTGCAGCACAGTCAGGACAGAGACCCAGTGGACTGGCCCATGTGTACCTATTTTCAGTGAAGATGGGGATCGTGAGCACCAGACAGGATCTGGGACTCCAACCCATCTTCTAAGTCCAGGCTGAAAGCTCCTAAAACGCAGGAAACATCATCCTGGGGGTCTCTGGGACCCCCGACTGCAACACAGTGAGGGCTCTGCGCCCCTGATGGCCCCTCCCCTTGCCGTGGCTGAGTCCCCTCATTTGCCCACACACGCCAGATATGCCCACGTTCCCCGTCGTGTTTACTAAGTTGCTGGGTCCTGCCAAGCTTGCCAAAGGCCAAATCTCAGGCACTGTTGGGGAAGCAGGGCTCCACTGAATGGGGTTACCTCCCCCCACCTCGTCTGTGACCAGCACTTCACAGTTTACAAAGCTCTCACCCCCACTCACTGACGCGCCCTCCTCCAATACAGGTGAGCTAGGCGTTGTTATCCCCAAGTTCAAAAGGAAATACCTACTCTCAGAGAATGAAGAATCGTCAAGCCCAAAGGCACAAGCGGAAAGGCTGGGAGGTGAGGTCCTGTCTGGGGAGCTGCCCACATGCCGCCTCCACACGGAGCCTTTCCTTCCTGCTCACGCTCTCCTCACCCCTAAGGGACCCGTACCTCGTGCTTAAAAACAATGCGAAGGCATCCATGAACAAACTGCTTTCCTTTCTTTTTTTTACATCTACAATAAATTATTTAAATTATTTCACAGCAAGGGAGAGGGATAGGTAATTTTTATCAGATATTTTTTTAAGTCATTTTTTAAAAATTGTTTTAGTTGTTGGTTGATGAAGTAGGACTTGCCCAGCATTTGCAGGGCCCTCAGGCTCAGGACAAGCGGACTGTGTTCTCATCTCCTTACTCCACACCCTGAGGACCCCCCGACTGTTGACTCAGGAACTTTCTGAGAGTGAAGACAGCACTGGGAGATGAGCTCTGGCATCTATCTACAATCACTGAGATTGTATCATAGACGGAAGCAGGAAGTCAGAAATCGAGCTATGCTTTTAATACGAAACCGTGCCTGAAACCCTTTGATTGTTTTAATGTTGTTTCTGAAACTCCTTGTACCTTTATAAAAAAATAACTAAAAGTGAAGATAAATAGATGTGGAATTGTGCAATGGAAAGAAGTTAACAAAATAATAAACATCTGCCTAGACATTTTAATACATGGAGTTTTCCTTGATTTGTTTCACAAATACAGGTTTCCCTCGCTATCTGAAAGTAGAAGGTGCTCATGAAACCTTTCATAAAAGCCAAAATGGCTAAAACGTGAAGAAGCAATAACCTTAATGCAAAATAAGTCAAGGGGAAGCACAGATGCTCACAGACGCAGTTCAAAGCTAAGACAGCGTCATGTTAAGGATGTGGAGTGTCGTTGCCGCAGAAGGAGCGTGACAATACCACTGTGACTGCCCGGGGCGCTAGGAGGTGCCTGATGCCTCTTTAATAACTCCTCAAAACAAATGCCGAATTTCTTTTTTTTTTTTTTTTTTTTTTTTTTTTTTTTTTTTTTTTTTTTTTTTTTTTTTTTTTTTTTTTTTTTTTTTTTTTTTTTTTTTTTTTTTTTTTTTTTTTTTTTTTTTTTTTTTTTTTTTTTTTTTTTTTTTTTTTTTTTTTTTTTTTTTTTTTTTTTTTTTTTTTTTTTTTTTTTTTTTTTTTTTTTTTTTTTTTTTTTTTTTTTTTTTTTTTTTTTTTTTTTTTTTTTTTTTTTTTTTTTTTTTTTTTTTTTTTTTTTTTTTTTTTTTTTTTTTTTTTTTTTTTTTTTTTTTTTTTTTTTTTTTTTTTTTTTTTTTTTTTTTTTTTTTTTTTTTTTTTTTTTTTTTTTTTTTTTTTTTTTTTTTTTTTTTTTTTTTTTTTTTTTTTTTTTTTTTTTTTTTTTTTTTTTTTTTTTTTTTTTTTTTTTTTTTTTTTTTTTTTTTTTTTTTTTTTTTTTTTTTTTTTTTTTTTTTTTTTTTTTTTTTTTTTTTTTTTTTTTTTTTTTTTTTTTTTTTTTTTTTTTTTTTTTTTTTTTTTTTTTTTTTTTTTTTTTTTTTTTTTTTTTTTTTTTTTTTTTTTTTTTTTTTTTTTTTTTTTTTTTTTTTTTTTTTTTTTTTTTTTTTTTTTTTTTTTTTTTTTTTTTTTTTTTTTTTTTTTTTTTTTTTTTTTTTTTTTTTTTTTTTTTTTTTTTTTTTTTTTTTTTTTTTTTTTTTTTTTTTTTTTTTTTTTTTTTTTTTTTTTTTTTTTTTTTTTTTTTTTTTTTTTTTTTTTTTTTTTTTTTTTTTTTTTTTTTTTTTTTTTTTTTTTTTTTTTTTTTTTTTTTTTTTTTTTTTTTTTTTTTTTTTTTTTTTTTTTTTTTTTTTTTTTTTTTTTTTTTTTTTTTTTTTTTTTTTTTTTTTTTTTTTTTTTTTTTTTTTTTTTTTTTTTTTTTTTTTTTTTTTTTTTTTTTTTTTTTTTTTTTTTNCCCCAGCACCCCGCGCCGGCCTGCATGCGGAGCCCTGCTATCCGCCCTTCCCTGCCGGAACTGTGCGCGCCCCGCCCCAGCGCCCAGCTTTCGATTCCCCACAGGCCTCTCGCGGCTGCTCGGCCGCGGCCCAGAAACTTGGGGGGCGAATGGCGGGCTCGGCGGTGCTCAAGGGGACTCCTGGGGGGTTGGGCCCCGCGGAGCCCGAAGACGCGCGCGGCGGGCCCTGCTCAGAGCACGGCGACCGCGTGGTTGAGCTCTTCTGCCGCCGCTGCCGCCGCTGCGTGTGCGCGCTCTGCCCGGTGCTGGGCACCCACCGCGGCCACCCGGTCGGCCTGGCTCTGGACGAGGCGGCGCGCGTGCAGGTGGGGACGCTGGGGCGCGAGCCCCGCAGCGACGGGCGGGGAGGGGCGTGCCGGGTCCCCTGGCAGTTGCCGGGTGGGACCAGGACCCGCAAGGCGGCCCGGGGACCGTCTCGGCGGCCGACCTGTGTTCAGAAAGAGAGACTGAGGAAGGGCACCGGCGAGCCAAGGCCATCATATAAGCGTCAGAAGAGGTGGGTTTGGGAGTAAGAACTTGGGCGCCCGGCTGGCCGGGTATCCTGGACCTCATCCACCACGGTGGGTCCACCCCACGGCCTTTGGACCTAAAGAAAAGCTGCCTTTAACAAAGATGGAAAAATCCCTCCCGCTTAGAAAACAACTGTGTTTCAGGAAAGCCACACACACGCCTCCTCCGGTTTTCCCTCCTGGAGTTCCTTGGGGGGGGCTGTGGACCCCCTGGCCCGGGGGTTGGGCCGGCCTGCCCCTCCCCCCTCCCCGCGCCCTTAACAGCCCCGTGCCTCGCGCCTAACAGTCAGCTGGGAGCTAGGTCAACCGCTTTCAGACAAAGAGAGGCTTCTGGAGGCAGAGGCTGGGCCTTGAACCCAGGACTGCTCCCCACGGGCCCAGTCTCACTTTGGGGCTCCCACCCATGCTAAACCTAATAGTGGAATGGGGCTCTGGGCTCCTGTTCCCGCCTAGCGGCCAACTTGTCCAGTGACTGGGCAAACCCCTGCAAAGCCCTCTTTGGGCTAGATGGGTGCTCCCCTCCCAGATTTGATTCTACCACTTCTTTCTTCAGGAAGCCGCCTGTGATTCATCCAGTCCTGCAGCCATTCCCTGCACTTGACTTAGCCGTTGTGACTTTGAAGCTAATCTAGCGGGTGGAGCCCAGGATGCAAGGCTTTCCTCTGCCTCCTAGATCTTCTTTTTCTTATCTATAAAATAGTAATAGCAATAGTTCCTCAAAATGCTGTTTTCAGAGTTAACAAGGCTGCTTTCAGAGATACATCTTCTAATCGGTAGGTCCACCTACCTCTTTCGCATCCACCCACCCATTCATTCGTTAGACATCCATTCAGCTTATACCCCTGCCACGAGGCAAGGAACAGAGCGATCCTTCCCTGACCTGGAGGCGTTCCTTGGCTAGTAGGGGAAGAACAAACCAGTGACAACACAGTATGATAAGGTCTGTAATTGGGGAGCCTGAGGCAGTGGTCAGTGGGAGCCACAGAGAAGAAATGTGAACCAGGGACTGGAAGCCCAGGAAGAGTTCCTGGTGGGGGTTGGGGCTGCCACTGAAACTGGCCATGACAGTAAGTGGGGCTTCACCAAGCACCTAGACAGGAGAGGCATCCTGTGACTGGAGGGCTCAAGCGCCAGGATGCCGCGTTATCCTTGGCTGACAGACAGAAGGTTGACCAGAAGATTCACGGGAGGTGGGGGGTGGGCAGATGGAGGATGTGCTCCTGGAAGGCGGACGGTGAGGCTGTGGCCTATCCTTGGGTTACTGTTGTGTTCCCACGCCCACTGCTCACTCCTGATCCCCCACAGAAGCGACACCTACTGAGCATTCTGTGTGCCAGGCACTGCGGCGAGCACTGTGTGTCCTCATTCTTTCCAGCGACTCTGGGGGGTTGTCCCCCCTCCACCTTTTTTTTTTCGCAGCTGAGGAAACCGAGGCTTAGAAAGGTGAGGCCACTTGCCTAGGTCATGCGGAAGGGGAGCTAGGACTCAGATCTAACAGGTCCTATCTGACTCTGGGACGTGGGCTCGTGCATAGCTTGCTGCAGCCCTCCACTTGAAGCTGGCAGCCCCTGGTAGTTCTGTTCCATTCAGCAAACACTTTAGGGACACCCCCTTGTCCCTGTAGGGGAGCAGGAGCCAAGAAGGGAGCGGATCTGCCCTCTGAAAGTTCATAGTTGGTCCAGCAGATGAGTGTAAGGTGAGCCGCAAGAAGGTAAGGTGGAGGTAAGGTCACAGCTGCAGGGGGCACCGCAGAGCAGGTCTTTGAAGAAACGGCAGTTGCAAAAAGCAGAGACATGGAAGGGAGTCCGGAGCCATGTAGCTGGGAGAGGGACCTCCTACACATGCAGGCCCTCTGAACACCAGTCCAGGCCAGAGGACCACAGACCGAGCCTGGAGGGAGGTTCCGAGAAGGCAGCTCCTAGAACAGACCCCAGCGCATAACAGCACTCAGGATTCACTCTAGAAGTGCATGCTCTTCGCCTGGCCCCAAGCTGCTTCCCCAAAATCCTGTTAGAGGGCCTGGAAAAGCAGGTCACAAGTAGGACTGTTCTAGAAAGAAGGGAACACCTCAAGGTTCGGAGAATACCTGATGTGGGTCTCTGAGGGTCAGAGGGGCCCTGGTTCCAGCTCAGCTTCCAACTTGCCTCATGACTTTGGGCAAGTCGCCATATCTTCTGAGTTTCAGGTATCTCCACTGAAAAATACACAGGGGTGAGAGGAGATGACCCCTGGGGTGACTTGTTTTCTCAGAAGTGACAACATTAAGACTTTTGTCCTAACTTTTTCACATACAGAAATTCACCCACGAGTGTTTAAAGCATTTGGCGACCAAGAAGCAGCAGCAAGTTGACAACATAACCCAGATAGAAGATGCTGCTGAGAAGCTCAAGGCAAGTGGGGGATGCTTCCTGATCCTAGTCGAGATGTCCACTTCTCTGCTCCAGCACAGGGTTCTCCCCAATATGGAGCAGGAAAAATGAAAACCAACCTCAAAGGGGGATTTGGTGGGGCCTGGAGCTTCTGTAATTTAGGGGACCCTTTTGAAGAAAAAGAGCACAAAATTAGTTGCAAGACCATGAAGAGGCCATTCTAGAGAGTGGCCTGGGGCTTCTCTTTCATTAGCTTTGCAGTGAATCTGCCTCTACCCGGAGCCCTAGCCTTGTCCCGAAACGCCTGACAAAGTGGAGGAATGGCCTATTCTCCCTCCATCGCCAAGGCCCTCCTCTTGAACAGACTAGTCCTCCACCCCTTGCACCCCAAATTGCCTTAAGCAAAGAAAATATAAGGTAAGGAACATGCAAATCACACTTTAAGTTTCACTGCTGAAACAAAGGAAATAGGTTTAAATATATTTCATGACATGTTTTTCAGGCTTATCCTGTCATAATAATGTTTACTTAAGTGGATTCTTCTGTGAGTTTTAAGTAGGAGGTTAGGGCTGACATGATCCTAGCTGCTGTTTTAGCTGTGAGAATGGTGTTATTGCTCTTTAGGAGCCTTTTAGGTGAACTTGGCTAGTCCCTTCCCTTCTCAGCCACATCTGCTGTCTCCTCAAAGTGAGGGCTGGGGTGGGATGCCCTCCCAAGGCCTGCCTCACTGAGGGCTCTGTGAACCCAGACTGGCCACCCCAAGTCAGGCAGTGAGACTGGCTCTGACCATGGGAGTAGTTAGCACCCAGACTAGGCCAGAGAATTGGCTCCCTGTTTGTCCAACGTCCATGATCTTTTGAGTGACAGCCTGCCCCAGTTTACTGAGGACAGATGTCTTACGCCTGTGACCCTGGCTTGATTATTAATCATGTCATCTTCAAGAGCACGGCTCTGGGCTCAGGCAACTGCATCAGTCTAAGACAACATGGGAACCAAAAATTGGCACACCCAAAGGGATGGGGAGGTGCTTGGGGATGTTTAGACCCGAGAACAGGCTCACTGTCTGTAAATCTCCGAGCAGATATAGTCTGGAGGCTCCCATGGAAAAAGTTAGTATCCATGTGGAAAGTCTTGCGGGGGCAGGTTTCACCTTAATCTAAGGAATGGTTTTCCTTGAAGCTTCCCCAGCTTTCGTTTTCCCTAGTAGCTCAGACAGTAAAGAGTTTGCCTGCGATGTGGGAGACCGGGGTTTGATCCCTGGATCGGGAAGGTCCCCTGGAGAAGGGCATGGCGACTCACTCCAGTCTTCTTGCCTGGAGAATCCCGCGGACGGAGGAGCCTGGTGAGCCCCAATCCATTGGGTCACAAAGAGATGGACACCACTGAGCGACTAACACACTCGCTGACCCAACTTAAGCTTTATTTTGAAGTAATTACAGGTTTATGGGAAGCTGGAAAAGCAGTGCGTGACCCTGAGTAGATGACAAGGTTCCTTGCCCCTTCCCCCGGTGCCTGGTCCATGGGGGGAGCGGCCCTCTGCGCGTCTGCTCTGATGCGGGTCGGATGGCCCTGGTCCCACTCCCGCGGGAACGATGCCAGGCGCCCAGAGTGCCCTCCTGGGTGACCCGGGACCCAGCAGGCTGTGGCCCTCACGCCCCTCCACCTCCAGCCACCCAGTCACTCAGCTCAGCCTCTGCCTGTGTTTCTGACACCGACTTCCTCTTTGTTTTGGGGACCTGGGGATTTCCTTTGTGGTGTTTGTTTGATTGTGGGTTGATTGGTTTTTTTTTTTTAAAGCTGGTCATGTAACTTTAACATTTGCTCAGCATTTCTATGTGTTTGAAAGTAGTAGAAAGGAAGATTTCCCATGTCTGCTCCTTCTCCCTTTTTTGACTCAACTATGTCATTTTGGAGAAGGAAATGGCAACCCACTGCAGTATTCTTGCCTGGAGAATCCCATGGACAGAGGAGCCTGGTGGGCTACAGTCCATGGGGCCGCAAAGAGTCAGACACGACTGAGCGACTGACACAGGCACATGTGTCATTTTGGGCTCCCTGGTAGCTCAGCTGGTAAAGAATCCGCCTGCAGTTCGGGAGACCCTGGTTCGACTCCTGGGTCGGGAAGATCCCCTGGAGAAGGGATAGGCTTCCCACTCCAGTATTCCCGGGCTTCCCCGGTGGCTTAGACAGGAAGGCTACAGCCCACGGGGTCACGAAGAGTCGGACACGAATGAGCAGCTAAGCGCAGCACATATGTCATTACGGGGGTAGGGTGCTGTGGTTGTTTAAGATCCTAACCCTTTCCTATGTCATTAAACGTTGTTCATCTGTGTTGGTATTAGAGGCTGTATATGCCATTGTATGGCTCGACCGTGGCTCAGGAAACCATTTTCTGAATGTTGAACATGTAGATCCCGTTCAGTTTCCACTCAGGTGAAGCAACGCCGCAGTGATAACTGGCACCTGATTTATTTCCTTTGGGGCATGTTCCCAGCGTGAGTCAGCTGGCTCAGCAGGCACAGGCATTTGTGGGGCTCTGGTGCAATTTACCAAACTGCAGCAGGCGCGCGCAGGCCTCGTCGTGGCAGAGAGGTCTGGGGCAACCACGCCTCTCCGTCCTTGCTTTCTCAGAGGCAGTACTAGGGCAAAGACCATCTGCCTGGAAATTAACCCATGAAACAGCTTGGTAAACAAATCAAAACCAAGAAAGTTCATAACTGGCCAAAGTCTACTGATCAGAAGCCAGCAACCAGGCCCACCCAGTCACGCCTTTCCAGAGAGCAATCAAGAAGGGCTTGGTCTCATCCCCACCCAATACCCTGTAAGTGATTTTCCTGAACAGGCTCTTTGCTTCCCCATCACAGCTCTTCAAGGGGCCGATACATCCAGGTGTGGGGAAAATCAACACTTGCCCGCTGCCCTAACTTTTTACTCAAACTGGGATAAGATGACCATATACCAGAGTGGTTATAGTCTTCTTTCAAATCTTCCAAATTTTCTACAGTGAACTTTTGATACTTTTGTAAATGACAACAAAAAAGTATATAAATACACAGTGTATAGAATCCTCCTGCCAAGCAGGAGACTTGGATTTGACACCTGGGTTGGGAATATCCCCTGGAGAAGGAAATGGCGACCCACTCCAGTGTTCTTGCCTGGGGAATCCATGGACAGAGAAGCCTGGTGGGCTACGGTCCATGGGGTCGCAAAGAGTCAGACATGACTTAGCGACTGAACAGCAATATATATAATATATATATAGTATATTGGTTCACTTTGAACTGATGTGGCCCAAACCAGTGTACTTCTTTGTTTCATTTCCAGAATTCTCTGTCTTTTTTTTTTTAAACCGTATTGCATAATCAGTCTCAGGCTGCTTACACCTTAAGCTTTCTGTGTTGAGATTTATAACAATGTGTAGTGTCATTAAGCTTATTTTGTATATTCTTCTTTAAAAAGTGCATCTGTGGACACTGCTTGGAGTACAGGTTTGTTGGGAGAAGATATTTGTCTCAGTTTCTAGAAAAACGTCCTCCACGTACATACGTTGCCTCCAAAATGTGTTGATAAATCAAGGGTTTAGAACACATTTTCTTTCCTTCACTTAGTCATTCGACAAAGATGTGCTTTCCAGGCTTGCTGACTCATAAGACCATGTTGTAGACTAATTCCCAAGGTAGCCAAAAACTGTTTAATCTCTACGGCGTGTGGTGGTATAAGTTAGACTCAGAGCATGACCATGCGTGGAACATTGTATGGGAAACACAGACTTTGGGAACTCATCCCCTAGATCCTGACAAACCACACATTCTCGCCCAACTAAGGAGAGAACATGGCATCACAGGGGAGCCTGCTCACCCCCACGCCTGCCTGGACACCAAGGATCTTCCTGCCTGTGGGCTGTATAAATGTTTGGTCTGAGGAAAGATACTGGCCTAATTTTTTTTTATGATTTTAGTTTTTAATTGCACTAGTAATACATAAACACATCTCAGTTTTAAAAATTTAAATAGTGTATTAGAATACAGTGTAGAACTTTGGAAAGTACAAAGTGAGAATCCCCTCTTGACCCTCACCCCAATCCCACACCTCTCCCCAGACATGACCAGACAGATATTTTAAATGCACTTGGCAGACATACAGATGCAGATATCCATATACATTTTTCTTTTGTGATTTTTTACATAAATGAGACCATCCTGTATGTATTATTCTGCAGCTAGCCCCTTTTCACATGATGTCTTGAAGAGCTTTCTACGACAGGATATATAGGTCCACTGCATTCTTTGTGTGTGTGTGTGTGTGTGTGTGTGTGTGTGCGTGTGTGTGGCAAAATACACATAAAAATGACCATTTTAACCATTTTTAAGTGTATAATTCACTGGCATTAATTACATTGACAGTGTTGTACAGCAATCAGCACTGTTTTCAAAACTTTTTCATTACCTTAAACATAACTGCATCATCACTAAGAAGTACTTCCCATTCCCCCTCCCACGAGCTCCTGGTAACCTCTGGTCTACCTCCTGTCTGTATGAATTTGACTGTTCTAGATATTTCATGTCAGTGGAATCATACAACATTTGTTCTTCTGTGTCTGGCATATTTCATTTAGCATCATATCTTCAAGATTCTTCCAAATTATAGCACATATCAGAACACTGAATTTGTTTTAATCACTGGATATTATTTCAGTGTGTGAATGCGGCATAATTTGTACAATGAACATACGTATACTTCTCATATTGAAACTTTTATCCAACTTTTCTGTCGCCAACAGTGCTATAGTGAGTGTCTTGTTACACAAATCTCTATGCACGTATGAAGACATTTTCTAGAATCAATTCCTGCAAGAGGAGTTGTTGCATCAAAGGATTTAAGCATTTAAAATTTCGATGTTATATCACCCTCTACAAATTCGAATAGCTACTAATAGACACCGCCACTCGTGATGTATGTAAATGCCTATTCCACACACCCTTACGGATTCTTGGTATTATCCATCAATTAGCACTTTTTCCAGTCTGATGGCCAATATATACACTTCCTTGATCTTGATTGTTTGGGATGCTGAGGCACCTCTTCATGTCTGCTGTCTGCTGACGTGTCTGCTGACACTTGTGTATCTCTGGTCCGTTTTTAAACGGAGTGATTTATACGTTATGGACAGTAAGCCTGTGTAGTTGGTCACCTGTCATGTAGCTTTGTTTATGCTGCCTTACCTCTTGAGAAGTGTTTCTTTTTTCATGTGATCCAACCTGTCATGACTCCCTTTTTGCTCTCTGAGTCTTATGGAGGTCCTCCCTTCCCAAATTTTTAAATATAAAATTGTTCTATATTTCATTTTGATAGGCTTATTATTTTTTAATGTATAGTGCCTTAATTTATTTAGAATAGTCTGTTTAGCTTTTATTGTGGAAAACCTCAAGCACACATACATACATGTCATCCAGACATATAATTTCATTGGTAAAACTCTGAGCATATTACCTGTATCTATAAGATAAGGACTCATTTTTAAAATCAAGTATCAATTTTAAATACATAAAAAAGTATTTTAAATCAGGTATCATCATATTAATATCATATTATATTAATATCACCATATTAACAATGGCTCCTTAATATCATCAACTATCCAACCAGTAGTCACATTCCCAGTTGTTTTATAAATGTTATATTTTGTTTGTTTGAATTACAAGTGAAATAAAGTTTTCAAAATGTAGTTGATTGATGTATTTCTTAAGTTGACGGTAAACATGCTCCTCTGTCCTCCACGTGTCTTCTAAAATGTATCTCTAAGTTAGATCTAGAGGCTTAATCAGATTCAGATTTACATTTTTCACATGAGTACTTCACAGGTGGGGTTCTGTCTGACTTTATGTTTGTATACAGAATAAAGTAAGTATCTAACAGTTTTATCAAATAGATGATTAATTGCATGCTGTACCAATACCATCTCTTGAATTATATGTAATTATATAATCTATATAATGTTAATATATAATTATATAGTATACATAATTCAGCAAATATATGTATTTACACTTTTCTAAGCTGTTCTTCCTCGCGGTCTTTTTGCCCGGCCCTGAACCGCGTGGTTTTAAATCCTCTTCCTTCACAGTTCGTTTTCGCTTCCCTGAGGGTTCAGGCAGTAAAGGGTCGGCCGGCCGGCAGTGCAGGAGACCCGAGTTCCATCCCTGGGTCAGGACGATCCCCTGCAGAGGAAAAGAACAACCCGCTCCAGTATGCTTGCCTGGGCAAACCCCGTGGATAGAGGAGCCGGACTGGGCTACAAGTCCGTGGGGTCGCAAAGAGTCGGACACGACTTAGCAAGGCAGCTCATCTGCATGGATCTTTTATTTATTTATTTTTTGTCTATGCCATGAGGCTTGCAGGATCTTAGTTCCCTGACCAGGAATCAAATGCGGCCCTTAATAGTGAAAACATGGCATCCTAACCATTGGACTACCAGAGAATTCCCCTTCATTGATCCTTTAAAAAACAGTTTTTTACTTTTCCTGTGCTTATTCTCTCTCACAATAAATTAATATTTGGTTAATATGCATGTTAAGACTTTGATTGGGATTGTATCCAATTTATACAGTAATTTGGAGACAAATGACATTTGTATAGTAATCAATCTTCCCAGACAAGGATATGGTTTTTCTTCCATGCATTCAGATTCTGTCTTTCCATACAATTTTATGCTTTTATTTATCTAGGCCTTTACAGTTTTTGTTGGGTTTAATTTTAAATATTTTGCTGTTTTTTCTGCTGCTTTAAAAATGATCTTTATTTCTCCATACATTTTCCAATTGGTTATAGCTAGTACTTAGGAAAGCTTTTTATAAAAAAGCTAAAGTGCTGAACTCTCTTTTCAGAAGTTATAATAGTTTGTTTTCATGTTGATTATTTTAGATTTCCTGGTTGGCAATTATATCATCCACGACTGGTTTTGTGTTGTTTGTTTATTAGGCTCATGCAGAGTCAAGTAAAACCTGGCTGACCGGGAAATTTACTGAACTCAGATTACTACTTGAAGAAGAGGAAGCTCTGGCCAAGAAATTCATTGATAAAAACACACAGCTTGCCCTGCAGGCGTACACGGAGCAAATCAAGTCCTGTGGGGAACAAATTGATGTCATGAACACTCTGTCCAGCAGGGTCTGGACGATCAGCCAAGAAACTAATCCCACTCGGCTGCTGCAGGTAAGGCTGGGTCTCCGCTCCGCAGTGGACTCTGGCCGCCATATTCCATCTGGGTTAATGTGGCACTGAACACGGGGTTCACACGTTGAGTAAATACACAGAGAATTGCTTTGCCAGCATGTAGGCTTCCTTGCCCCCACGCAAGTCAGAAAACATACATTGTTAGGAAGATAATATACATCTTGGACTAGTTAAATGACATTATCAGCCACCATTTTTGAGGGCCTCTGTGTTCCAAGCACTTTAGGTATCTTAGCTGTAATATTTACTAAGAACTCTGCAAAGTGGGCATTCTCATCCCATTTTACTAAGGAGAAATTGAGGCTCCAGGAGATGCAGGAAGTCATCCAAGGTTATACAGCTGGTAGGTGGTAGATCAGGGATCGGGTCTGTCTGAATCTAAAGCCACAAGACATCTCTGCCTGGTCCTCTGACTATACAGTCTTAATGGAAACATCACTCTGGGAAAATCAGGTATCCTTGCAAAATCTACTAAGCAGACTTCAAGAGCTGAGTCACAGTTTGCTCAAAGTGGAGAGAAGGACGGGCCTCCTTGGCCATGGGGCTCTGTTGGAGGCTATTCTACTGAAGGAGCATCTAGAAACTAGTCTTGTGATGCTCACTGCTACCCTGAGTGAAGCGTGCTGTTGAGGGTGGAGTGCCTGTCTTAAGGGAGCCACGGGAGAAGCTCTTCTGTCGGTGAGAGTGAAAGTGTAGTCGCCCAGTATCCGACTCTGTGCGACCCCATGGACTGTAGCCCACCAGGCTCCTCTGTCCATGGGATTCTCCAGGCAAGAGCACTGGAGTGGGTTGCCATGCCCTCCTCCAGGGGATCTTCCCAGCCCAGGGAGCGCACCCGGGTTTCCTGCAGTGCAGATTCTTCAACATCTGATCCACTGGGCTCCTTTTCTACTCATCTGACTCTTCCTCTTTCTCTTTGGCATAGCTTCTGGGAAGCTCAGAGCCAAATATGTTCCATGTAGCTGGAATAGACTTTGTTCATATAGTTTGTGCCTCATCTCACTGCCTTCTAGCTTACATTCTTATCCTGGTTCTTCTCTCTTGGCTTCATTTTTCTCATTAAAGGCAAGTTTTGCAGCATTAGATAACTTTTGTAAGATGCTTTAAAGGTTTGTAGGGTGAGGCAGAGTACAACTAAGTAAAGACAGCACTGAGAATAACCACAGATTAGCATGGGCTCTGGTTGCAAAATAAGGCAGGGAAATAAGTCAGTACAAAACTAGTCAAGCCAGACCCTGGAGGATATTTTCACTCATACCTTTATGTGGCCTTGGTCAGTTCAGCCTGTGAATCGTTTTCAAGTAACAGCAACAGTAGCAACAAAAAGCCTAACAATTCTCTGGGTGAGGTGCTCTTCTAGGCACTTTAGACATTGTACTTGAGAAGCAAGATGCAGAGGGATACATTTCTTTCTTTCTTTTAAAAGGATGATACACTTAAGAATATCTACTGCAAAGGGATGCTTCCATGGAGAAGAATGTTAATCTTTCATCATAGATACAGTTTCAGAGCTTTTTTTTTTTTAATTCCCTGGTTCCAGAGTTACTGATTATCATCATTAATCGTTCCTTTGATTTGCTCACTCTTTCATCTAATATACACTGAAGCACGTGATTGCAGCAGGCCCCTGCTTCACATTAGGAGCTCTTGGGTGGGGAAACGTGCTCAGAAATATTCACAACATAACAAGGCTCAAATTAGCAACTAAAGGTGTGTCCAAAAAAGTCCAACTCTGCGTGGGGAATCAGGGAGGGCTTCCAGGAGGAGGTGACAGTGGAGCTGGTGTCAGAGGATGAGGAGGAGTTCATTGGGTGTGTGCAGAGGGATGGAGCAGAGAGGACACGGCAGGCAGGAGGAGCCATGTGCCCGCGAGAGCTTGGCAGGCTGGAGATCCGCTTGGGTTCAGCCTGGCTGGAGGCAGGGCAGGGTTAGGAGAGGGAGGGGTTGTTAGGAAATGCAACTGGATAAGGAGGCCAGGGTTAGTTGATGAAGGATCTTACATGCCTAGTCATGGAGTTTAGATTTTGTCTTGTAAAGAGAAAAGGGGTCAGGGGAATGTTTGGGACCGAGGAATGACATGGTCAGATCAGTGGTTTAGAAAGGTCACTGTGACAGGTTGGAGGGTGGACTGGGCATGCAGGACTGAGGCTGGAAGGGAATCTGGGAGGAGACCACAGGTACCCAGGAGAGAGATGATGGTGGGCTGGACCAGTGAAGGGGCAGTGGGGATGGGGAGAAGCAAGCAGGTTTGAGAGATTGGTGATTAGGGGAATCCAAGGTGACAGCTGGTTTCTGGCAGAGAGATATGTGGCTATATGGCTGTTCTTTGAGTTTGCAAAGGCAAGAGGTAGATATTCTTGGTTTCATTCATTTATTCCATTATGAACATTTATCAAGAACCTTCCATGTGTCGGGCCCTGTGCTAAACGCTGCAGTTTGGTGTTACCAGGTGGTCCCATTTGTCCCTCATTCCCCATCTTCCCCTCTTGGCCACCCTCTGGCCACCCAGAGCCGCCCCCTGCCTTCTCCACTAGTGCTCTGACCCCCTGGCCAGCCCTCTGGGTGTGACCTTAGCCCTCTTTCCCCACAAATTCCCTTCTCCCCGCCCAGATGAAGACGGGCTCTAGACTTGTAGCTTCCTAGGCAGAAGCTTCCAGGGCTTAGAGAGCATCCACAGCCCCTCCAGAGACCCAGCATCTCTCCTGCCGACTGCTGAGCCACCTTCCTTCCTTCCTGAGGAGTCCATCTGCCCCTCTCATCTCAGGCAGCACTGCCAACCAGCCGGGGCGTGCTCGCCTAGGGCAATCTGCTATCTTCTAAATCCTTGCCTGGGACTACTCTCCAGAAAGTGTGGACAGGGATCTTAGGTGCAAACAAGAAAATCCTCTGTAACTGTTTTAAGCAGGAAAGCAGTTTATGAAAGTATTAGGTAGCACACAGGATCTGCAGGAGGGCGGGAAAGTCGGGATAAAGACCAGGCCACAGGAGTGAAGCCAAGGCTATGGCACAGGCTTGCTCCAGGTTAGACCCCACTGCTTCTCTCCCGGGTGAGACGTCATGTCTTACACCACCGACCCAGGGCCGCCCCGAGAACCTCCGCCTCTGCTGTCCCTGACAGCCACATGCCGCTGTCCCACCCACCCTCACTTCCACATCCAGAACTTGGAGTGGAGATGCTGTGGGTGCAAGGGGGACCAGGACTGTTTTCAAGCTTCTCCTTAGCAAAGCCACACTTGACTCAGGAAAGGTATTTAATAAAAGGCACTGTCCAGACAGAAAACAGGACAGCCCCCCACTGTGCTGGGCTCGCCCCCTCAGTCCGCTTTCCAGTTGAGCTTCCAGAGTTGTTGGCTTTCATTTTTGGGGACAACGGTTTTCTGTTCCCCGTTTTGGACATGCCCCGGGAGCACCTCCCTCCAGGAAAACTGGCCCCTCCTTTTGTTCCCCTGGACTGCAGACCAATCCCTGTCACAGTGTCTGTAAAGCTTTGGGGTCCCTTTCAAGGCGGTGAGCTCAAGGCCAGGGCAATCAGCCTGCCTCCTCCCTCGGCCCCCCGATGCTCAGAGCGGACCTCAGTACACCCCGCAGGGAGGGAGCCCTGGGGGCGGGGGTGTGCTCCTGGGGGCAGGTCTGCTCCTGGGGGCGGGGTCTGCTCCTGGGGGCGGGGTCTGCTCCTGGGGGCGGGTCCGGGCTGGCAGCAGGGCTCAGGGCCGGGTGGGGCCTGTGCTCGCTGGCTGAGTCTGTCCCTGGCGTGATGGTGGAGACTGGAACATGGCCCCAGGCGACCCTGAGCCCCGCGTGCCCTCGCAGGAGTACACGGCCGCCGAGCAGCAGGTACAGCAGCAGATGAGCCTGGGGGAGCTGTGCCACCCCGTGCCCCACTCTTTCGAGCCTGTCAAGAGCTTCTTTAAGGGCCTCGTGGACGCCATGCAGAGCCTGCTGCAGACGCCGCTGGATGTCCGCCTTAAGGAGAGTAAGTCAACTGTGTGACCGCCCTTGGGTCCTTCACTCCCCTGGTGCCGTCACTAGAGATGGCGCAGTCAAGTCTGAGTAAGTCTGCGTCAGGTCTCTCCCGCACAGAGGCCCAAGGCTGGGCCCAGTCCTCCCTGCCAGCCTCACCTCCTATGGTCCTGGGATGGGTCCTGTCTCTCAGAGCCTCACGACTCTTCTCCTGCCCCTCCCTCAGTCGCTCCCGGGGTCCTGCCTCACCTCAGCTTTGCCTGCACTCAGCTCCCAGCTGGACGGACCAGCTCCCCCCACCTCCTCTGCCTGGTCAAGACCCACAGCTGCCCTTACTTGGGAAGCCCTTCCGTGGACTCCCTTGCTCGCTCAGCCGTCCGCCTCTCTGCCCTGGGCCCGCTCCATCTCCTGCCTGGGGGTGTTTGTGAGCTGGATACATGGGCCCTTCTCTGCCTCTCTTAAATGCCTGGAGGGCAAGAACCACTTTGGGTCCATCTCTGAGGTCACCATAGGGCCTGACACAAAGCAGGTGCTCAGAAATATCCATCCCTTCATCTCTGTTATTAGGGTTCGTCCAAAACAGTCATTGAGCCCTGTTATGTGCTGGGCACGGCAGGATACAAAACAGTGATCCTGCCTTTGTGGGGCTCAGTCTTTTAAGGGGAAGACAGTCAACTAATGAATACGTATCAGCAGTAAGAAGTGCCTTGAAAAAATAGTGCTGAGTAAGGAGAACAGAGGGTGCCCAGGAGAAAGAGCTATTTTCTGTGGGGAAGTGGGGAAGGCCCCTTTGAAAAGGGGATGTGGGAGCTGACTTGAAGCATGGGCCAGAGAGCTTAGTGGTCACAGGCATGGACTCTGGAGGCAAACTGCCTGGGTTCCTATCCCAGGCCCACCACTTCCTGACCCTGCCATCTTGAACAGGGCAGTTATTTTCTATGCCTCTGTTTCTGCATCCATAGAATGAAGATGATAATATAGTCCCGTCTCATAGAGTTGTAAGGATTAAGTGGGTTCTTACATGTAAAGTGCTCAGGCATAATGAGCTCCTGTGAGCACTAGCTATTATTGTTACTGCTGCTGTTACATCTGGGGGAAAATGTCTTCTAGGTAGAGGGGAAAGCAAGTGCAAAGGTCCTGAGGCACAAGGCAAGGGTGAGTTTGACTTGCTGGGGGAAGAGCAAAGGGCAAGGGGCGGAAGCAGTCAATTGGAGTAGATGTAGGCACAAGAAGGGAAGAAGAGAGATACCAAGGAAACTCCAAAGATTTTGAACTGAACAACTAGAAGGAAGTTGTCATATTCTGAGATGAAAAAGAGCGCTTAGAATTGGAAGGAACAGCCCTTTTGGCTGTCTTGAGTAGCACCATAGGGATTTGCAAGAGCAAGTGCTTGACAAAAGGCAGCAAAAAGGAAGCCAAGAAGAAAAGTGAGTGGTTGATCCATTTTCTAAGAAAGGTTGTGAAAGCAGCAGCTATGTTCCAAATAAGAAATTTTGGAAAAACCCTAGTCACAAGAACTCTAGCAACCCAAATTGCATCTGATGGCCTCGAAGGTCACCTTTTGAAGTGAGTCTTGCTGATCTGTAGAATGATGAAGCTGCGTTTAGAGAATTAAAGCTAATTCCCGAAGACGTGTCGTCACTCAGCCGTGTCCGACTCTTTGTGACCCCATGGACTGTAGCCGACCAGGCTTCTCTGTCCATGGGATTTTCCAGGCAAGAGTACTGGAGTGGGTTGCCATTTCCTTCTCCAGGGGATCTTCCTGACCCAGGGATCGAACCCAGGTGTCCCACATTGCAGGCAGACACTTTACCCTCTAAGCCACCAGGGAAGCCCAAAGATGTTAAGGGCAGAACTGCCTTTCATGGCATGGATCTTATCCTTGTCAAACTATGCTCCATGATCAAAAAACGGCAGACCATGATTGACACGCAGGTTGATGGGAAGATTACCAGCGGTTACCTGCTTCATGTATTCTCCGCGCTTTGCTAAAAATAAAAAGCACAAGCAGCACCACCGCCTGTATGTGGTAGACGCCTTCATCACCCCCGTTTGACAGGTGAAGAAGCTGAGGGTCAGAGAGGTTAATTGACTTGCCCTAGGTCACACAGCTGGTGGGGGTCAAGGCAGAATTCAGACGGACTGTGGTCCCAGGGATTGTGTTCTCTTCCCCTGGAGTCTGTTTCCTCCCTCATCCAGATGAGGCCGTCGTTCTCACTATCACAGGTAATACCCAGAGCTACTGCCTCCCAGGAAGGCTCCGAGGAGATGGGGGTCTTGCAGCACCTCTGCGCTTCCCGCATCCCGCCTCACCGCCCTACCTGTGAGTTCCACAGACACTGCAGGTCCAACAGGCCGAAATGGAACCCAGCATCTTCCACCCGCTAACCCCCAACCCGCTGCTGCTTGCCTCCAATCTACTCTGCATTCCCCGCTCCCAGGAGAGTCAAGCCTTGGAACTTGTACCACTGCAGTATACCCTGAACCTGGCTCCTTTTCCATCCCTGCTGCCCCAGGTCGGCCCTGAGCCTACCCACAGGATGTGTCTACTCTCAGCCTCCCCCGGCCATTCCACATCAGAGGGAGCCTTGGAAATTCTTCTGCTCATGTCTACACTCCTTCAAACACCTTCCTTGGCTCCTCACTTTTTACATAATACTCCAAGCACCTGTCTTTGCTCCTGCTATATCCTTGGGAAAGCCTCTCATCCTTTTTCTGGGTGTCCAAACCTTCCCCAAATCTTTAAGGGCCAGCTGAGGTGCTTCCTCCTCCAGGAAGCCTTTGCTGACCCCTCTAAGCCCTGGAGCCCTTTCATGTCTCTTCTTGGATCCAGAGCACTTTCTGCCTTGCAGTATAGCTCACACACTCCCATTTCTCTCCTCACTGACCTGACTGAATTGTTACAGACAGGGATTGTGACCTGGGTTTCCCCTGAACTTTCTTCTACCTGGATGAGTATGACCTTTTACCTGGATGAATATGACCTTGCTGAGGGCTCAGCTTTAATTTCCTGTATTCGATCTTTATCCTAGAGTTTGCCTGTCTGCCATGAAATTGCCCCCTTCCTTGACCATTGAACACGTGGTTGATTCTCAGCGTGGTCCTGGAGGCTGCAGCTCCCTCCCCATGTCCAGGGCTCGCTCACACTGGCCTGCCAGCGCTTAATTTGCTTCCAGTCTTAGAAAGTGTATTTCTCTGTAGATCTGAGCCTTGTCCTGGAGTTTTCCTGTTACTGTGAATTTGCATTTCCTACTTAAATTTGCATGCCATTCTTGGGGGAGAGATTATGTGAATCTCCAGTTCTATAATATTTTTAGTAATGTTTTGTAGTTTGTGCTGTTTGCCTACACGCCAGGCACTGATTTCTCACAATTCATTACAGGTAGGAACTGTCAGCTCTCGGGCTCCTCCTGCGTACAGCCGGGTTCCTTGTTGAAAACAAGCCCTTCACCAGAGCGATCACTCTTCTTAAAATGTAAGACCCCAGGTGTGGGGAGAGGGGGAAGAGGGTGGGGTGTAATGGTGGGGACGGAGGGTCACTGAAGTAGAGGGGCCTCCCTTTTTTCCTGAGAAACACGCCTTTGTTTTTTTCCAACCCTTATTATCAGCTTTTTATTTTTATTAATTCAGAAATAATACATGTTCACTGTAGAAAACAACATTTTTTAAAAGAAAATCACTCAAAATCACTGAAGAACTTCGGAAATTTTTCTGCTTACCTACCAAGCAGACACGTAATAGTAGATAGCTACTACTATTTGCCCTTTTAACTTTCTTTGGCATATCTATATATACATACAATGATAAATATTTAATATATATGTTTTACAAACATGGTGTCATACTATACATACTGTTTTGCAATCTGTGTTTTCATTTACTGAGATATTATGGATATCTTTGTTCCTTAAAAAACTATACAAGTAATGCATGCTTCTTGTAGAGAATTACAAATTACTTATATGAAAAAAAAACAATTGCCTCCCCCAGAGATAAATGTTAGTATTTTGGCATATGTTCTTTCAGACATTTTAAAAGTACATGTGTGTACAGATTTTTTAAAATGGAATTATATTATAGATATTCTTGTGTAATTTTAAAAATTTAACAGTATAGGTTGAAAATTTCCTATTTCAATAAATACAGATATCATCATTTTTTTTACAGGATACATGGCATTCCATTGAATATGCCATGTTTAAATCAATCTCATATATTATTGGACATTTAGGCTGCTTTACATTTTCATTTCTGTAAACAATGCTGCAATAACATCCATTCCTGTACTTACTTGTTGAATTAATAAGTGACTGAATACACCTTAGCTTATTTTTGGATTATTTTTTTAAGAGTAATTTCTCAAAGTGGAATTACTGGGCATGTATTTTTTTTAACTAATCGTTAACAGATATAAAATACATAGAAGAATACAAATCAAAGGTGTACAGCTCAATGATTTTAAAAAGTAAACACATTCAATAACTTCCTTCGGACCATGAAATGGAAATTTCCAGCTTCCCAGAACCCTTCTTCATGCCAGTTCACTATCCCCAAAGGGTAACTACTCTCTTGACTTCTAACAATATAGATTACTTTTGCCTGTCCTTGACTTCTATATAATTAAATCACTCAGACTGTACTCTTATATCTTCTTCAACAGAACACCACATCTGTGAGACTAACTCATGTGACTGTGTGCAGCAGTAGTTTGTTGATTTTCACTGTGGTGTAGTATTCCATCGTTTGAACATAGCATACCTAAGTGCTTCTTGATGGACATTATGGATTGTTTCAGCTTTGGCCTATAATGATTAATATTGCTATGAACATCCTTGTACATATCTTTTGATGCAACTATATGCATAAGGAATAGGAGAAAAGGATGTGCAGTATAACCACTACTATGCAACATTGTTCTAGATGTCCTCAAGAGTGCCTTGAGGCAAGAAAAAGAAATGTAAGCTATAAGGATAGGAAAAGAGTAAAAAAAGACCATTATTCAAAGGTGACATGATTCTTTACAGAAAACCCAAAATAAGCTATAAATTAGAGTTAACAAATGAATTAGAAAAACTGCCAGATGTAATGTCAGCATACAAAAATTAATTGTATTCCTATGTATTGGCAATAAACAATTAGAAAATGAAATGTTAAAAAATATTATTTTCAGTAACACTTTCTAAAAACTTAGGAATAAATCTAACAAAAGATATATAAAATCTCTCTTCAGAAAACTCCAAAATACTACCAAGAAAATTATCTGGTAGTATCTACTAAAATTGAACATCCACATGCCCTAAGACCTAGACTTTTCTGTAACTTCATGTCTGCAAATGTGTATAATGCAACAAGAACTGTAACTGGGAGTTCAAATCACCACCACTTTTCTGGAAGACAGTTTGGCAAAGGCCTTAAAAATGCAATCATCCCCATGGACCCAGCAATTCTTTTTGGAATATAGCCTAAATAACCAGATATATAAAAATGGACTCATTAGTGTTTTCAAAAGTCTTTCTTAAAAGCTTAAATATTTTTTTAAAGCAGGGGGAAGGTATAGGTTAAATTCTAATTTATCTATACATAAAAATCTTAACGTTGCCATTTAAATGCTCTTATAAAAGAATATTATATGACGTGGTAAAATGTTCATAAATACATCAATACATTTAAAAAACAAATTACCAAGAGTCTGTATGGTATGACACCAATGTTAAGGAAAAAAACATGGAAGGGGCAAGTTAAAAAAGTTGGAAGGGCGCCTAAGTGTTAAAATAGTGATAGGGTTATTTTTATATTTTTAGAAATTGGCAACAAATTCCATTGTACAAAATTCAAGCTGTACAACGGATGTGCATTAAAATGCTGTCTCCTCCCCGTGTTCCCCGATCACCTCCCCACGGGTGATTTACGTGTTTCCAGTTTTCTACCGTGAACAAGCGCAGGACAGACGGCCGGCGCTCGCTCTGTCGTTCTCCCGGGGGCGGGCCGGGGCGGGGCGGGGCCGAGCCACTAGCCCCGCCCCTCAGGCCTGGCCCGGTGTCCCCGCCCTCCGCAGACGCGCGCACGCCCTGTCTGGATCCGGACACGATGCACGCGCGCTTGCGCCTTTCTGCTGACCTCCTGACGGTGCGCTGCGGACTCCTCGGCCGCCTGGGACCCACTCCCGCGCTGCGTTTCGACGCGCTGTGGCAGGTGCTGGGCCGCGACTGCTTCGCCGCCGGCCGCCACTACTGGGAAGTGGACGTGCAGGAGGCGGGCGTCGGCTGGTGGGTGGGCGCGGCCTACGGCTCCCTGCGGCGCCGCGGGGCCTCGGACGCCGCCCGCCTGGGCTGCAACCGGCAGTCCTGGTGCCTCAAACGCTATGACCTTGAGTACTGGGCCTTCCACGACGGCCAGCGCAGCCGCCTGCGGCCCCGCCACAACCCTGACCGGCTCGGCGTCTTCCTGGATTACGAGGCCGGCGTCCTGGCCTTCTACGATGTGACGGGCTGCATGAGCCACCTACACACCTTCCGGGCCGCCTTCCAGGAGCCGCTCTACCCGGCCCTGCGGCTCTGGGAAGGGGCCATCAGCATCTCCCGGCTGCCCTAGTGGCCGAGACCCTCGTGAGCGCCTCGGGCTCTCCACGGCTCTGCTCTCACCGCATCCAGACGGAGCTGGTCTACGGCCTCCGCCGTAAGCGTTCCCGTCCTCTCCCCCACCAGTCCTGGCCTGTGCTTTGTACAGCTCCTCTTCAAGCGGGCCCTAAGCCTGCAGGTCCCCTCCTGCCGCTCTCTCACGCGACCTCGCCGCCGCCGCCAGGACTCTCACTACACTGCCTGTAATTCAGGTTCCCGAAAGCAGGCGGCCACAGGTGAGCCTTAAGCACCCTGACCGTGTCAGTGACCATGATCCCCAGCATCCGCTCACATACCACCCAGAACTGCCTGGCACACGGTAGGCGCAAGGTAAATGTGTGAATGAGCGGGAGTCGCTGAGACTCTTCCATCCCTTAGTGTCCCTTGGGTCTGCTTCCTGCTCTTCACTCTCCTCCAGCTTGTCCATGTCACCTCCCTTAGGAGCAGCTGCAAGAGGTCCTTACCACCTCCTGGCCTGAACACTTTCCCAAGCTCATTTTCTGCCTTAGAGCCAGTGTCCTGCCTGTAACCTCACTTAACTTCTTAGGACTATCAAAAGCTTCCCAAAGACTCCAGTGGGGAGGGGGACGGGGGAATCCCTTTACCCTAGCATTCAAGACTTTTCTAGTCTGCCCCAGGGTACATACCCTCATCTAGCTCCTACTGCTCTTTTCAGAGACCCTTCAGTCAGAACTGGGTTCATATGGTTCTACCTGTATATGGTCGCCATGGCCGTTTCCCATACAAACACATTTATACAGGAAAGCCCTTTCTTCTTTTTGCCTGTCTGCCCGCCCCAGGCTTAACTGCCCCAGGAAGTCTCCCCAAACCACAAGAAATCCAGAGTCTGGGACCTGTCTTTCCAGTTAGATTGGAAGATTTCTAAGGGCAGCCATGTCCTACGCCCTTCTCACCCTGAAAAATTCAGAATGTCCCTTCCCTCCAAGGCAGTGAGTTGATGACCACTAGCCAACTGCTAGTGAATCAGAACAGCTGAGTTGGGGGGGCCTCACAGATCACCCAGCCTGACCTCATTGTATATTTGGGGAGAATAAGGTCGTGAAAGAAAGTTGCCTCGTTACCCACAGAGATTAAGGATTGGGCCAGCACTCAGCCATGTGTCTCTGGCCCAGCCCTTCCAGCCCAGCTTTCAGCCTGAAAGATTTTACTGATTGTTCATTTCTTAGGGGATGTTGGGAAGAAATCAGCAGATGACTGTTGCTAAGCAACCACAGGCAGTTTTCCCAACGGTCTTGGAATCAAAAGGAGAGGAACTCACCATGAGTGGGGTTTGGGCAGCTCAGGTATCCCTATTTTCCTCAGGTCCAAAATGTTGCCAAGGAAATGCGGAGAGCCGCTGCTTTCCAGAAAGTAGTGATGTTGTCAATAGAGAAGGCTTAGATCAGCAGGATTTCCCCGGGAAGTCGGCTCCTCCGGGAGGGAGGGAAAGGCCTCTTTCTTGGGTCTGTGCCTCCGGTTCTGAATGTTCAGCGTCCTGTTTGTCAAGTCCCTTACGTGGTTTTGAAGTTACACTGTCCTCAGGTATCTCCTTAGGTGCTTGGCAGGAGGGCAGTGGTCGGATGAGGAACATGCAAGGCTGTGTCTCCCTTGGGGTTTAAACAGACTCTCAGTGCATTAGTTTGAACCATATAAAACTGCCCGTTTCCAGGGGTTTTTTATTTTTTTTTAACCTAAAAACAGTACTTTGATATGAGGCAGTATAACACAAGTAGAATACAAGGCAGAAGGAACCTCGAAAGTGGCTTTAGTCCTAACCAAATCATTTAAAACTCTAGCTTGGCTAGATCTTTTAAACACTGCACTCCAGGAAAAGGGAAATTTATTCTACTGGGGATGGCCCAGAGCTGAATTCTGACAGGCAGAGGGCATTCCTGACAGAGGGAGATGGGTATGCTTGACCCCACATCTCTGTTTCGTCTCTGCGCACCAAGACTTATTCCCAGACTTATTCCCAGCCACAGGGCCCAAGTAAAAATCCTTGCTATTTTGCCAGGCACTGTTCTAATGCTTTACAACTATTAACTCATTTGATCCTTACATCACCCCAGGATAAAGATAGTTTGACAGTTGTACACGTGGCAAAACTTAGAGAATGAGTAACATGCCCAGTGTCTCACAGCTAGTGGTGGGGCTGGAGTCTGTACGCTTCCACCATGTTCAGGGGAATGCAGCCAGTCTCGAGCCGGTGCCTACTTGCTCTGGCCCCTCTCTCATGAGGCCTGTGAGGCCCTGCTTTTCCCTGGTTACACTGTGGGATTGAGTCTGCCTTTGGGTTACCTTCCATGGGCTCCGAGAGGAAGTCTTACACCCCGAGGGAGATTTGAAGTTTGGGGATTCATGTATTGTAGCAGGAGTCAGAGCTGAACTATAAAGGACAAAAACTACAGTTTTTGTCCACAATCATTTGTGACCTCAGGCTAGTCACTGTACTTGATGGGAGATCATCTGTAAAGTGGGATTAATGACCCTACCTACCAGTGCTGTGAGGCTCAAATGCGCCCAGAGGATGTGAACTACCCTGAAAACTAGTGCTTGTACCATGCCAGGACCTGTTAGCATCCCAGTGGGGTTCCTGTTGGGCCTGGCAGTGCTAAGACAGCCAGTATTCCTAGCTGTCATCTGGCAGGAGCAGGCGCCTCCAGCAGCACTCGGCACAGGACTGAACCTTCTTGGGGTCCAGGTCTGAAATGGTACCCATCACTTACTGTCTTTCAGACTTGAATTTGTAGAAATTTTTTTTATTAATAAGAGCAAATTGCTTGCAGATGTGGTTTGTTTTAATAAAACATGAATACCATCCCTTTTAACCGTGTTCTTCATTGGGAGTTTGTGTTGCTTCGAGTACCCGGCATCTAGGCCTGGACGGGGCCTTGCTCATCTCCCACCCCCTCCACAAATTCCTTGTTGCGGTCAGTTGGTCCCTGATGGAGTGTCTCTAAGAGCAGGAGAAGGTCACTATTTCTAAACGTAGTTCACTAAGTTCTTGCTCATGTGGAAATAAATCCTGCCTTCCAGCTGTTCCTATCCAAGACAATATTATGTAATTTTTGATTGACATTGAAGCCATCTGTGGTCACTTACTAATATTTAGAGATTTCAGGGACCCTCCATCATCTCTTCTGTCTCTGCAGTTCTTCTTTGTCAGGGAGAAGGGGACAGTGATGACAGCCTACAGGAGGCAGCCTAGCAGAGGGCACAAAGATGGCCCGGCACAGCCAGGCCTGGTGGACAGGAACCCATGCCATGAGGAGGAGACCGCCTGCCCAAGCAGCCAACATACGAGGTGGGGTGGACAAGCGTTAAGAGTGAGAGGCCCAAGGTTGAGTTCCCCATGTCCTGCTCTGATGCCTTCCGTGGCTTCCCATTGCTTATAGAATACAGTTCAAAGTCAGCAGGCTTTAAGCCCTTGCGTGCTTCCTGACCACCTTCCAAATCTTTTCCTTCCTCTCCATGTGGCCATCCCTGCCCAGCTGTCACCTGGACACCCACAGCCCCTCCCATGCCTCCCATCCCACAGATCGTCCCTCAGTTGCTTCTCAACCTGCAAGACTGATCTAAGAGTGCCACGACCTCCGGGAGAGCTTCCCTGGCCAACGCCTCCTCTCCTGGGCCCACTCTTCTAGCTCCCGTGGCTTGGAAAACATTTCAGTGGTTCACACAGCAGACAGGGACTGTCTGCTGCCACACTGCACGCTCAGCACTGGATCCTCCCGCCTGGCAGCTACTTGGGGACATGCAGATGGGCCAGAGCTGTGCCCAGATGTCCATCCTCCTGACCTCAGGGCCTGGCACAGCGTGAGGCGGCCAGCCCTCCTGCAGAGAGTGCAGGCAGGCCCATACTTGACCCACACACGTCACACCCAGGCTGTCACCTCTGCGTGCCAGTGGGAAGCATGTTCTAGGTAATGGCCCTCCTCCTCGCCAGCATGTTCACAGTCCTCGTCCCAAAAGACCTACGCCCTCAGCTGCTCTTCAAAGTGTGAGGCTCCCTGGCTTCCGCCCTCTGGGAGCGAACGTCCCAGTCTGACAGGGCCCGGAGGCGGTTGACAGAAACCGCCTGCTGCAGTCTCCGCTGGAGCCCAGCTGGGCGCCTCCCCCCTTTCCCTTCAGACCCGTACCCTGTTCCCAGGCCCGGAACACGTCCGTCTGCTGCCGTACCAAGTCTCTTCTCACTTGGAAGTCAGATATTTAGTTTAATGTCATCTCTACTCTTGTAGAAAAAAAGGCTATGGAATCAGAAAATTTCATTTTCTACTCATGATTGTTTATATGGAGAAGTGAAAGGAGTAAGCAGCAGCCAGAAATGGATGTGGTCACGCTATAGCTCTTAGCATGTCAATTTTATGGATTCTCGTGTGAACCAGAGTTCCAACCTACCCCATCCACACATACAAACACAGGTAGGTACCTTTCCAGAAACTGTTCTGCGACCCATAGGAGAGGGAGGCCCTATCTTCACAAGTAAAGAACCTTTAGAAGGCAAATTCACATATTTGAAGAGAGACTCCAAGACACTCTCTGAAACACAAGTCACAGTAACCAGGTCAAATAAATACGAACAAAGATTAAGAATCTGAAAATAATCTCAGTATTATTAGTGTATGAAAGAACAGTATATGAAAGAACAAAGAGGAATATGATACAGAATGCCTATGAAAGGTTCATGCTGTAGTTCAATAAAGTCCAGCATTGAGGCTACTTTGTTAGCTGGGTGTAACTTCACTGCAGATCATGGAAAGGCTGATTTTAGCATCACCGGCATACGTACAAGTCACCACAAGCTGCAAACACGCCGAGCCCCATCTCACTGCATGTGTCACCTTCTAACACTGGCTTCTTCCTGTGCCCCTGGTTAACGAAGCATTCATCCCCATCAGAACGGAAGTCCTGCATCCTCAGGCCACAGAGCAGGGCCTGGCCAGTGGCAAGCCCTCCACACTTGTTGAAAGAAGGAATAAATGCCATTTCCCTCTCTCTGCTCATTCCTCTGCCTGTAAGACACTTTGCCCAACACCTTCTTCTCTAATGCCAAGTGATCACTATACAGCTAGTTGGATTCAACCCCAGGGCAGGCAGGAGATAAGGGGAGAGAGCCGAAAGGAAGGGACATTTGGGGTCATTAGGTTGGCTTTGCAGGCCGGAAGAAGGCAGGCTGGAAGGAAGGGCCCAAACAGCCCGCATTCACCCCTCTGCACTGCACTGGGCAATGCTGAGAAGCTTCTGAGCTCACTGCCCCTCCTGGGCCAGCCAGCCTGAGGCAGAGGCTGCCTATATTCGCTCCTTGTATTGCTCCAATGGGCTTGACCCAGGGCCTGGCCCCAAAATGTCTGCTGTCTGGGGATCCCCGGAGACCAGCAGTCCTGCCCCACCTCACCCAAATGCACCTGATGGTACCAGCAAGGCAATTCAGAATCCAGAGAATGGCACTTTATTTTAAGATCTGATTTTTTTCCCATGATTCTCTATCAGTTCTTCCATGATGGTGTCATCTTCTTCCACAGTGACCAGGACCTTCTTGCCCACCAGGCTAAAGATGTCTTCAGGAGGGTAACCTTTGGGCTCCCCCACCTTCACAGTGAGCATGTCCAGTGTCAGAATGCTGCCTTCTGGAATTTTCACTTTGGCCACCACAGACTTGCCCAGCTGTGGATGAAATTTCAGATTCAGTGCCAGCCACACAAGTAACTAGTACACGGTGTTTTATCCCCAGGGTCCCTGACCAGCTTTCTCATACGAGGTGCCTGGAAAGCAGGGACCTGCTTTCTTCCCCTTCGGTGCCTAGAACAATAGCTCACAGCAGGGTCTTGGCCAGTGTGGGGTGGACTCAGACTCAGAGGGGTGGCCTTTACAATCAAGGACTCAGGTTATGTAGCCAAAGAGAGCAAGACCCAAATCCCAGGCACCTGGGGACAAGGCGTGGCTGAGTCTCTGTAAAACGGGAAATAACAGTGCCTCTATCCCGTGGGACGACTATAAGGATTCGTGATGATGATGCCCGTAATCTACCTGGAACACAGACTTGGTCAATAAAAATGGTGATTACTTTTGTCATCATCCAGTTCAGTATCACATTTTAAACACAAGGAAACAGAGGTCTCCGGAGGGCAGGTGAGCTGGCCAAGGTCGCAAGGAGCCAAGAGGAGAACCTGGGATTCCTGACCCCTGGCCCACGGCTCGACAGACACAAACCTTATGGCCTCCTCGTTTAGTACAACAGGAATACGGAGGGCTCACGAGACAAGCATGAAAGGGGGCCTCTTAGGAAGGGGCAGACAGGCTGGGCAACGAGGGGAATGGGGACATGAACCTCAGAGCCAGCATCTCTAAGGTCTGGTCTATAAATGCTGTCCCACAAAGTATCTAACTCTGCATCTTCCAGGTGAGGGCCAAGGAACCCACTCTGGAATTTATGTCAGGACAGAAGGTCTGATAGCCGATGATTATCAGATGTTGTGTCTTGTGGTGTCTCACTGTCTACCCACGGAGCCAGGATGCTCAGAACCAAATTCAGTGCGCAGCTGCTGAAACTTATTCCAGTTTCTGAGCCAGCTTTCTCCTCTCTTCTTCTATAAGGCAGTTTCTTTTTACCATTATTTTAATTTTCCAGTGTATATACATCTTTGAGAGCAGCAAGTAGGCCCCACTGGAATAAAAGACAACCCTCCTGGAGCAGGCCTGGTGTGGGATCTCGGTTTCGGCCCAAACAACCCGCAGCATCAGAGGAGTGCCTGCTCCCCTTGCAGCCCCGACTCAGAGGCTGAGCCCGGTCTAGGCCCTGGCTTCCAGGAAGGCCCCGTGGCCCCTGTGCCAGGCAGAGTGTGCTGGCCTCCCCCCGTCCACTCCGCCTGAAGGTTAACGCGGCACAGCTAGCTCAAAGGGCTCCCAAGGGAATCTATGCATCGTCCCCCAGCAAGCCCGTGAGAACCCTCGCCCCAGCTTCCAGTGTCTCCCCGTGCTTCGGGATTCCTTATCACAGCCCTCCTCCCCCTGCCTCGTGGAACCCTCCACCTGAACATGCCTCTAGGATTACCTACAGTGTAGGACCCAAGACTCAACCTCCACATGCCTCATAAGGCCCCAGACACCACCGGGGTCTTGAGCACTGGGGCCACAGGCTTCAGAGACTTAATGGAAAACCATAATATGATGCCTGGGAATCAGAGGAACAGCTAAAGTTCCTTCAATAAATTCCTCCCGCTGCTAACATGAACTCCAAAAACCTCAGAGGCTCGCAGCAACATCCCTGCATCACCCCACCGCTGTGGGCGCAGGCAGGGCTGGTTCCCACGACCTCTCAGGGAAGCCCACACAGCTCCTTTCAGCACTGGCACCCGGCGGGTCAACAGAGCCCACCTTCTCGTTGCAGGCCATCTCACAGGGCAGCAGCTGCTTGGTCGGGGAGCCCAGCGCCCTCTCCACGAGGCGCACGGACCGCACCAGCTCGGCCAGCTCTCCAGGCTCCAGCGAGGCCGCGTGGTCACTCCCCTTCCAGGTCTTGTCCAAAGTGATGTGACGCTCCAAGACCTTGGCACCCAGAGCCACTGCGGCCACAGATATCGCTATGCCAGTCTCATGCCCAGAATACCCTATGGGGATGTCAGGAAAGAGCTTCTGGTATTCCTTTAAAATAGAAAAAGGAAAAGAAAGTTAAATAGTGTCGTGCTTTCCACATACAATCCGGAGTCAGGCTGATGGATCTGAGGCCCCATTCAGCCACTCACTATCTGTGAGGCTCCAGGAAGTCTCTGAGGCCCTCGGAGCCTCTCCTGGGGATGACGGGAGCTGAGGGAGCCGCTGTGAGCGCGCG